ATAAGCTAGACTTTTCATGCAAAACTTCAAACTGGGAGAAATCAGTCCATCTGCAAAGCAAACTGATTTTATTTATTGAAGCCTTAGGAACAAAACAGCCCCTTTTTACTTTTAACTACTAGCCTTGGGAATAGGAAACATTAACATTTCATAGAATGTGTTCTTTTGGGTCTTTCTGCAGAAGTGATTAAAACATCCAAGATTCAAACTTGATTTTGTTTGTTTTTAATAAGATTCATATGATCCTTGTTTTTTTTCATCATCATCATTGGTGAGAATGGGAAAGGGAGCTGGAGGGGCCAGTTATAGTAGAAGGGCAGTGCACAAAGACAGGATTGAGACAAGTGGACAAATGGAGAAATGTTAGAAGGGGTCACTGAAGTGGAAAAGCAGGTGACCAGGTCAAAAATAAACCTACAGAGCTAACTTATGGACAAGAAGTTGGAGCTGCAGAATGTGCCTCCTACTTGGACCCCAAAAGGAAGGTCAGTGTGACATGAAGGATCACATAGCGTTCTTGTTGATTTCACTCTGTATCTTAGTTTTTCTGCTAGGTTTGCCCACAGGTTACCTGCTCCCAGCATGAGGTGGAAGGGCTTACTGCAGTTGTCAAAACCCACAGAAGGTAGGGCAGGGAGCTAGTTAATGAAAGCAGCTGCCTGAAGAGAGACTTCGTGTTCAACATTTTTTAAAGGAAATAACCAAGAAAATTATGTTTTCCACAATTTAAGATGTTGATTTTAAAAACAAGAGACTGGTAAAATATATCACTCTATGGACATAAATTCAGCTTTGCATTGGCTACTTTCAAAATAATCCAAAGTCTTCTCACAGGAGAGTGTCATAGGAGGCCACGAGCAGAGCACTCTGGGTCCTGTCCCCGGCTCCGCCCTTGGCTTACTGCGTACCTCTGTCTCTCCTGTGAAGAGCTATATCGTGAAGGCTTTGGGACTTGAAGATCTTTGGGGACACTGTCAACTCCCACATGCTGGCTTGTTCTTTGGGTGTCTGAGGTTGTGGTAGGTCTTCACCTCAGTTACCCTGTTATTTTGATCTCTTCTAGAGTAAAATGAGTGGGGTGGGGGAGGTGTTTGTACGGGTATAGTATTGGTGGCAGGAGGTCAGAAGAGGCTCTGTATAGGCCCAAGTATAAACCTTCAGTTACTGCCTGCGTTTGCCACTAGATGGCGATCAGATATTTGATCCGAGATCGCCGGACTTAAGACTTGACTTTAGCCAAGACCCCCAAAATTGACCGTTTAAAGAAATGAAACCGTAAGCTGTAACTCATGCGTGTCCTAAGCCCTGTCAAACTAACCAGCAGTAGTTTAAGCAGTGAAGGGCTTCCCTGGTAGCTCAGCGGTAAAGAATCCACCTACTACTGCTGGAGACCTGGATTCAATCCCTGGGTTGGGAAGATCCCCTGGAGAAGGAAAGGCAACCCTCTCCAGTATTCTTGCCTGGGAAATCTCATGGACAAAGAAGCCTGACAGGCTACAGTCCATGGGGTTGCAAAGAGTCAGACACGACTTAACAACTAAACAACAATAAGCAGTAAAAAGGTAGAGTTACTGGAACTTCTCTGGCAGTCCAGTGGTTAAGACTCTATGCTTACAATGCAGGAAACACAGATATGATCCCAGATCAAGGAACTAAGATCCCACATGCTGTGTGCCCCCCCACCAAAAAAAGTTACCCATCGTTTATACTTTAGGTGTAGTTACATAAGGTTAGGAATCTTACCGAGGAGAAGGATGTGATAAAATCATGATGCATATAAAGTGAGCAACAGAGAATTGATGAATTTATCAAATACCAGTATACTTGAATGAAGGACCATTCTTTTATTTTTTAAGTTTTAAATTTAATTTTATATTTTTATTGAAGTATAATTGAATTACAGTGTTGTGTTAACCACTATACAGCAAAAGTGACTCAGTTATACATGTATCTACATTCTTTTTCCCATTATGGTTTATCACTGAATGTTGAATATAGTTTCCTGTGCTATACAGTAGGACCTTGTTTATCATTTCTGTATATACCAATTTGCATCTATCTGCTAATCTCAAACTCCCAATCCAGCCCTCTCCCACACTCTCCCTCTTGGCAGCCACCAGTCTATTCTCTACAAGGACCATTCTTTGAAACCTTAAAACTGATAAAGAGATGTAAACATGTTATTAACACTGGAGGTGCCGCCTTGTAGAAATATGAAAGTTCATATTTCTTTAGTTCAGTAAGTTACAGTAACTGTATACATTGAAAGGTCTATCAGTGAACATAATGAGAAATGCTTAGGGAATATCTCTGAGCTCTGGATGTGACATCAAGAGAGACATCTGAGTCCTTCTATGTCAGGGGTTAGCAAACTTTTTGTGAAGAGTCAGATAGCAAATATTTTAGGCTTATAGACCATTTTAGGTTTACTGTCCATTCAACTCTGCCATTATTGTGTGAGGTAGCCATATACAATATGTAAATGATGGGTGTGGCTGTGTTCTAATAAAACTAGTTACAAAAACAAGCAGTGATCAAGATGTGGCCCAGGTGCCATAGTTTGCTGGCCTGTTTGTGGGTGAAAGCTAGGGTTCATAAGTATTTCTCCTTTCTAGACTTCATTCATTGGCTTCTGTCAAATAAGGAGTTGGATTAGATGATCTCTGCTGTTTTTCAGATTTTATGTCCTTTAGTACCTCTTGCTGAAGCTAAATGATTCACAGGAGTGACCCAGGGTGGTATTTCTTTTATTTTTAAGATCGAGTTTTTTAAAAATCAAGCTTGAACAAGTTTGTAAGTTTCTAGAGCAGGATTTCTCAACCTTGACACAGTTGACATCTGGGGCTGGATAGTCCTTTGTCGTAGGGGAGCTGCCCTGCACATTGTTGGATGTTTCACAGCATCTCTAGACTCCTCTACCTACTAGATGTCAGTTCAGTAGCACACCCCAACCCCAGGAGTTATGACAACCAAAAATGTCTCTAGACATTGCCAGATGTTCCCTGGGAAACACAATCACCTCCACTTGAGAACTACAGCTCTAGAGAATTTAAGAATAACTGGAAAAAGAATGGAAATGGAAATCAGGCTGTGCAACCCAGGATGGCCACCAAGATAATAACCATACTTCTTTAGGAACAGGACCAAAAAAGCTAAAACCTAGAGGAACAACCAGCATATTAGAAGGAGAAAGACAATGAGAATTTTATTGACCCAATCAAGAGGGGCTGGAAAGTTGGTAACAGATGACTTTTTAATATTGATTTAGGTCATTTTCTTGAAGGTGTTCCTAAAACCGTTGAACCAAAATAGAGGGCTACCTATAATAGGTGGCTGAAAAGTTAAACTAAAACACAGAGACATGAATGAAGAGAAATATAAAAAAGACTGCTACTAAGGAATACCAAGAATACTTACTTTTCACTATTTTATTTTGTTTGATGAGGCCTCTAGCAGAAAGAAGTCATACTGAGTGAATTTTTTGGCCCTTATCTATGGGTCCTGGTATTTTGTTTTGCTTTGGATAAGTAAAAGTGTGGTTTATTCCTACAGTAGAATATTATTTAGTAGAGAAAATGCATCACAGCTTCACACAACTGCATAGTTGGATCCTTGAAGCTAAGTTTTAAATGTCAGTAAAGCTGGTCCTTTAATAAGTCCAGATCATATAGCCAGCTTGTAAGTTAGTTACAATTAAAAGCCAAAATCATCTCTATTCATTAATAAGGGTGCCCTTGATTTCTGTCTACCTTTTATTTATACCCATGTGTTTTTGAACTATGGTGCTGTAGAAGACTCTTAAGAGTCTCTTGGACAGCAAAGAGATCAAACCAGTCAATCCTAAATGAAATCAACCCTGAATATTCATTGGAAGGACTGATGCAGAAACGCCAATGCTTGGGCCACCTGATGCAAAGAGCCAAATCATTGGAAAAGACCCTGATTCTAGGAAGGATTGAGGGCAGGAGAAGGGGCAACAGAGGATGAGATGGTTGGATGGCATCACCAACTCAATGCACGGTGAGTCTGAGCAAACTTCAGGAGATAGAGAAGGACAGGGAATCCTGGCGTGCTGCAGTCCATGGGATCGCAAAGAGTCAAGACACAACTTAGGGACTGAACAATAATAACATATTCTTTTAGGAATTCATCCTCTTCCAAGTGTGAGTGATATTAATCGTAGCCAACAAGCCCTGATCATCCAACTCACTTTGTACAAGAAATTTTTTTGTCTTGTTTCTTATATTCCTTACAATGACTTTAAGCCAGGGTGATGTTTTCTAAACAGGGATCTAAGACATCTAGAAATGTTAATTCTAGTCTCAGGTTCTAGTTTTGACTTGCTTTGTGACTTGGGGCTGTCTCTTCCTTGCTGAGGAAATGTTTTATTTATCTGTAAAGTAGTAGAGAGATGACCCAACTCTAGTCCTTAGAATGGCTATACAGGAATCATCTTCGAGGGCTTGTTTAAAATTTAGATTTCTGTGCTTCATTCCTGATATCAATTCTGTAGTCTAGAGTAAAGCCTAGGAAACCCAGATGAGTCTAGTGTATGGCCATGTTTGAGTACAATTAGAAGTGATCTCTAAGGTCCTTTCAACTCTTAAAATACTGTGGTTATATGAAACATATTAATATATTTCCTTAAATGTCCTTTATTATATTATTTTCTAAAAGCTTTTTTATATTCTGCAAGAAGTAGTTGAGATTACTACATGGTGGTATACCCCTCATATGCTCATTGGTACAGCTTTACAGAAACTTGGTTTGCTATAATGTGGTCAACTTATGGCTTACATGATAATCTTGATCCACAAAATGTATTTGAAGATGGTTTCTCTTTTTCACTAGGATGCTATATCTTAGTCTCTTTGTTCTCAATCTTGGATTTTGAGAAAGATTAAGTAGTTTGATATCCTGATTTCTGTATAACTATAAAGTGGAATAAAATTAGAAATTCTTTGTGGTTGTTAATTTTTTTGTTTTTCTTTAATTTACAGAATGCTCTTTTCAGTTGCATTAGCAGAAATGAAAGTAAGTATATTATAAGTGGTTATACCAGCAATCCAAAGAGCAAAACACAGCTTACAGAATATGATTTAGCTATTATAAATACTGCCAACACTTTGCTGCTATAACAAACTGTTGCTAAACCATCTGAAGGAATGTGCGCAACAGATTCTGATAGGCTGCTTCCTCTGGAGCATTCGCGCCATTCATGAATTCTAACAATTCCCATGTCTTAGTTGGAGATTTACAAAGCAGATAATAGTGCTGGGTGTTTTAGAGGAAGATCATGCCCCACTTGGATAACTTTCAGAAGTTGAGCACACATAATATGATGTAAAATAATGCAGCAGTTGCTGAGGGCTACCTCAGTTCTTCCAGATATTCACTGACTGCTTGCTTTGTGCAGGGAAGATACACATCTTGGGGGCATAATCTGTACACAAAGAACCCTGGGACGTGGTAGGTATGGGCTTGAGTCACTGAGAACGTGCTGTGGGAGTTCAGAGGAAGGAGAGATCACCTCCCGCAGGGTGCTTAGAAGTAACTTTGTGGAGTTGGTACGTGAGCTGGGCCTAGAAGGACAGACATGATGTGAACAGTAGAGATTGGAGGAAGGGCATTCTAGGTGAAGGAAACAGTGAGAGCAGTTGGAGATGGGGAAACACATCTGAGGAGCAAAGAGTTGTTTAGATGGGCTTGGTAGTGGATATATTAAAATATCAGAAACATTAGCTGTCTGTACTTTATTTGCTACCCTTTCTTATTGGGATTTAGTTCAAGATTTCCCAGATAGTCTTTGACACATAATTTTATGCTCTCCCACACTGCAGGGAAGCCAGCCTCATGGGGCAGTCCTTCTCCCATTCTCACTTGTCTCTCTGTCCTCAGCATCCATCACCTCTACCCTCAGTTTTAGCCTCATTGAGGTTGACAGTGATACATGTAGCCGTGAATGGAAACAGGCTTATCTTGCCGTTAGTTTGGTACTAGTTGAGTTCATTTGTATATAATTTTATCATTATTTCCGGAAGCCGCCTGAATTCCCTGTTCTATAGGAGTCACAGAAACCTGAGTCTGGTTCTTCCGCGCTGCTGCCATAACCATCCCTCATAATTATCAGAGATTTCCCGCCTGCCTTTTTCTTAACCTTTCATGCCACGCCTCTACCTTTTTGGCTCCCTTCGGCCTCCCACAGACCCCTTAGCCTTTCCTGTGAGGGCCTCTTGCTCCTCTTCATTATAAATCCCACATTTTCACCCCTAGCCACTCATCCTGCTCTTCCCAGATAAATTAAATGGTCTACTTTGATTTTTAAAAATATGTCAATCAAGAATCACTTATTTTAAATGTGGGTTTTACTTTTCAATGTTGAAGCAGGTCATATCAGTTATGAGTTGAGAATTTTCAATTTAGCCCTAGCCCTGGAGATTTTTAAACAGCATAAAACTTTTGGGATTTTGTTTCCAGATAGACACATATAATTTGCAAATTTATGAAATGATCCTGATGTCTCTTAGTTTTTATTGGTCCTATTTTATAAAGGAGATATTTGGAGTTTTGTTATCTTGGTATGTTCAATTTTTTTTTTTTTTTTTGCTTTGCTTTGCTTTGTTTTTGAATCTCTACTAATCTGACATGGAAAGAAGCTGTCCGGTGGGTCTCACCATGGGTGCTATTAGCTTTTGGGAGACAGTTTGATTGTATGAGACTGTTCTGTACATTTCAGAGCATTTAACAGCCCAGACCCCCATGTATTAAATGCCAGCAGATATCCTCAAGTTATTCTGAAAACCAGAAATACTTCCACATGCATTCAAGTTCTCCCATGGGCTGGTACTGCTCCTGCTGAGGATCACTGCATTGTAGACTATAAGTTGACAAAATATGACTTTCTCAGACCACTGACCACCTGAATGTCCCCATGGCTATGCTTACAGTAGTTCTGACTTTAAGTACATGTCTTCTACGGCATGGTTTTATTTCTCAAATTCAAAAAGACACGGATTGTTTCACCATTATTATGATGGTTGAGTGTTGGTGAATGGCTGACTTCATCTCACTGTCATCTTTTTCCCTCTAGTGGGCTCAGTCTGTTGCAGTTACGCAGGCCATCACACAAACTGCCGAGAATACTGTCAAGCCATTTTTCGAACAGATTCTTCCCCCGGTCCTTCTCAGATCAAAGCAGTGGAAAATTACTGTGCCTCTATTAGTCCACGATTAATACACTGTGTGAACAATTACACCCAGTCTTATCCAATGAGGAACCCAACAGATAGTAAGTAAAAGCCATATTTTTCCTCTCATTTCAATCTTTGGTAAAATAATTTGTAAAAAGGAAATAAATTCTTGAAGATATCTGTAGTCTGGTCATTTGGGAAACACCAGACCTCCTTTGGTCTTTAGATTTGGCAGATTGGTCATGTTTGTCATGGCTAAAAGATGCCAAGAAAGACGGAGCTGTTGAGGGTATGAAGAAACAGGCCCTCTCTATCCTGAGGGGGGAATTCACTGGTATGGGTATTTTGGTGGGGGATGGGAGGGGAACTGGGGCTATGGCCATGAGCATTTCAAATAACCGTACCTTTTAGTCCAGTAATTCCATTTCTCAGAATTTGTCCTTTAAGAAAACTTACAAATTTGTAAAAACACATCAATTCATATAAAGGATGTTTGTTACAACATTGCTCGTAATAGAGAAAAACTAGAAAGAACCTAAACATCCACCGATAGCGTGTTGATTAAAATTGATTAAATAAACTACATATCTCTATAATAACAACATTATACAACCTGCATAAAGGGAGATGTATGTTATGTAGATCCATGAAGTTAGAACACTGCCTCCTACCATACACAAAAATAAACTCAAAATGGTGTAAAGATTTAATTATAAAACATTATGACATAAAACTAAAAGAGAATATAGGCAAAATATTCTTTTACATAAATCATAGCAATATTTTCTTAGATAAGTTTCCCAAGGCAAAAGAAATAAAAGCAAAATAAACAAATGGGACCTAATGAAACTTATAAGCATTTGCACAACAAAGAAAACCATAAGCAAAATAAAAAGACAACTTACAGACTGGAAGAAAAATATTTGCAAAAGAATGTGACCAATGAGGGTTTAATTTCTAAAATATATAGATAGCTCATACAACTCAATATCAAAAAATATAAACTAATCAAAAAATATACAGAAGGCCTAAATAGAGATATTTTTCTAAAGAAAACATACAGATGGCCAACAGGCACATGAAAAAATGCTCAACATCACTAATTATTAGAGAAAAACAAATCAGAACTACAATTAGAGAAAAAACCAGAGTGAGGTATCACTTCACACCAGTCAGAATGGCCATCATCAAAAAGTTTGCAAATAATATAATACATGCTGAGGAGGATGTGAAAAAAAGGGAACCCACCTACACTGTTGGTGGGAGTTTAAATTGGTACAGCCACTATGCAGAACAGTATGGAGTTTCCTTAAAAAACTAAAAATATGATCAGCAATTCCACTGCTGGATATATATGTGGAAAAGATGAAAGCTCTAATTTGAAAAGAACCATACTAGCACTTGTGTTTGTTTTTGTTTCATTTGTAGACAAAGACGTACATAGACAGGTGCAAAAATAAATCTTCTTTTGCAACCTGGAACTCATTGTTCTGTATGAGATTTGTTACAGATAAGAAGGAACATGATACACAAAACAGATATTATGGGTGTCTATTGGTGAATGTAAAGATTTTTTCCAGGGCTATAGAGCTGATACTTTTCTCTCATATATTAAGCTTTTAAATTATTAGCTGTATTAATCTAGTTGTTAGTTTTAATGTTGACATAAAACAAGAAAAGAAAAGAATCATGCCTGCTAGTGTCCAAAGCAGCATTATTTAGAATAACCAAGACATGGAAAAAACCCAGGTGTTCACCAACAGATGAATGGATAAAGAAAATGTGATAACATACGATGTAATATTAGCCATAAAAAGAGAATGAAATAATGCCATTTTCAGCAACATGCACGGAGTTAGAGATTTTCATACTAAGTGAAGTAAGTCAAAGAGAAATAGTATATCACTTATATCTGGAATCTAATAAAATATAATACAAATCAACATTTTACAAAACAGACTCACAGACAGATAACGAAATTATGGTTATCAAAGGAAAAGGGTGTGTGGGGAAGGATAAATTAGGAGTATGAGATTAACAGATATACACTACCATATGTGAAGTAGATAAGCAACAAAGATTTACTATATAGCACAGGGAGCTATATTGAATATCTTGTACTAACATGGAAGAGAATTTAAAAATATATGTATAACCAAATCGCTCTGCTGTACACCCGGACCTAACACAATTCTGTAAATCTACTACAATACCAAAAAAATGTATATTTATTATAGAAGTCCAAGATGTAATAAGCAAGGAAAGGAAGTTGCAGGACTAAATGTATACAGTGAGATTCATTTTTAGTTATATACCTGTTTGTTCCACCTTGTATGGATGTGTAATATTTGAATTTGTAACTTTTATAATAAAAATGTCAATATAAATGAGATTCTGATACTTTTTTAAAAGACAGGGCCTCCTAATGAACTTGCACCTTATGGGATCTTCAGAATCTCAGCTTTGTAAAGCCTATAAATCATTTTCTTCATTTAGAGGTGATCAGACTTAAAGTAACTGACTAATTAAGCAAAACTGTCAAAAGGCTTATAAGCCAGATGCCAGTGTTTTGACTTACACTGGGATATTCAAAGACTTGTTTTTGTAAACTCAAAAGCAGTGCTGTGCCTTCTTTGGCCAGATTCTAACTAAGGCTTATGACATTCTGTGGTTGTGTGAGGAAAATCAGAGGGTGAAGCACTTGCTGCAAATAACATTCATTTATTTTAAACAGAGATCTGTCTTCACTGACATTTAGGCTATGGAGAGGTGCTGCTGAAGCAAAGTTGATAGATCACAGCTCAAAAAAAGGGGGGGGGGGGCAGAAAATGTTTTAAGGGTAAAAGAACAACCATCTCAAATGTCTGTGCTAATATATAGGAAAACTGGAAAAGAAAGTAGAAACAGATATGCCTGAATAGGCTTCTTAAGAAGCCAAACTCCTAAGAAAACTACTTCAGAGAAGCCCTTTGAATTCTATAGTCTGGTTGAAAGTGTTCACTTGCTTTCTAGTTTTTTATAGAAAAGTTTAACAAACTGATACCTTGTCAGAGTTTGTTATTGTATTATTTAAATTACTACTTAGATTAATTTGTACAGATTTATAAATCTTTTTATCCCAGAATGTGATGAAATACAGTATTTGTGATTATTGCTATTAAAATTAGTCATCTTTCTCATTATGTCAAGAACATGACCCTTTTAGGCAGTTGTTTCTAGCATGAAATAATTCCAGTTTGATCTACTGTATCCTTTCCAGGAACATAAAATACCTTGCATATAAGGACCTCTTTGGTGTAAGAGGATCTTTCATTTATCTAGGAATGATGCTGGAGAGCCCATGAATGAGCGTGGAAAACCCGGTAATAGATATCTAGTCCACCTTTAGCTTTTCACTTTTTTGCCACACTGCAAAGCAATGGAAAGAGAATTTGGTAGGCTCAACATCCTGGAGATATTGACGTGACTCAGAGTAGTAATGGATCCCAGTATACCACTTGATTCTTCTGCCTGAACAATGCAGGCTATAAAACCAGCTAATTAATCCACTTCTGTTCTGAAACTGTAGGTTTGTATTGCTGTGACAGAGCGGAAGATCATGCTTGCCAAAGTGCCTGCAAGAGAATTCTGATGTCTAAGAAAACAGAAATGGAGATTGTCGATGGCCTCATCGAGGGTTGTAAGACCCAGCCTTTGCCTCAGGATCCACTTTGGCAGTGTTTTCTTGAAAGCTCACAGTCTGTTCACCCTGGAGTCACTCTGCATCCTCCTCCCTCCACAGGCCTTGATGGTGCTAAATTGCATTGTTGTTCTAAAGCAAACACTTCAACCTGTAGGTCAGTATCTCATTTTCCTTTATTAAAACCAGTAGAAAATAGGATTTTAATGAATGAATTTAAGGACGTGTATGTTATATTCTCACACTGTGTCGTGTTAAGAGTTCAGAAGATATAAAATCCCTCATTCTTTCATTCAGCAGGTGTTTATTGTGCATCATGTATATGTAGAACATTGTTTTTGTACATTGAGCTAAAAGCACTGTGTTTTGGAGTGAGAGGATTAGCATTGGCAGGGCATTAAATATTTAAAGATGATGCAATATGAATTCTACCCTCGAGGTTATCCTCAAGTAAGACGACAATGTAGATGTTTTGACCGGACATCTAAGAGATATTCTTTTTGTTAAACTATGAAACTTTGAACTTAATCGACTTTTTGTGTATATTGGTGAATAACCTGAGTTGACACTTGTATCCAGAATTAGACAGCAGTGTATTAGCATTTATTTAGGTGGTACACTTAGGGATAAAAAACTAACAATACTGTTTGTGTAGGCTCAAGGAAACACAATCTAGAGACAAGAATAAATGGAGATTAAGTAATGGTAGAACCCAGATGAAACAGAAGTTCGCTTTATTAGGGATATTTTGGGTGGAAATGTACCACATGTTACTATAATATCCTGAAATAAATACAACATACAAAGAGTGAAGCAGTCTCTTCTTGGGGTGCGGGCGGGGGTGGTGTTTGTTTTGGCCTCACTACACAGCTTGCAAGATCTTAGTTTCCTGACCAGAGATCAAACCCAGGCCCCCTGCAGTGGAAGCGTGGAGTCCTAAACACTGGACCAACAGGAAATTCCTCTGTGTTTCCTAAATTGGATAGACTACCAAAAACTTGTGCCTAGAATAGCTCATTGAACTTTACCAAAGATATGAAAAACTTTGAAAACATCCAAAGAAAATTAATGGAAGGACTAAAAGAGAAGTTAAGTTGGTCCTATAATTGAAAATTGGGTTACTGATAGGAATTATAAATGTATATATTTGGGAAGGATCCTGAATAATTCTTTGAGTGTCTACTAAAGAGTTGTGCCCTGTCATCAACTGGAGATTGGAATGGCTGTGTCATCCAAGAAGAATTTCAGTAAGAAACACTACATCTCTTATCTTGATGTAAGGTTTTATGGTTTACTGAATGCTTTTACTTTCATCTTGTTCATCTTCATGAAATCTGACAAGGCTGGTATCATCTTATGACTGATGTCAATTTGTGCAATTCTTGTTATATATAGAAAACTAACTTGAGATATTAAACAATGTCCAAGGTCATACAGAAAGTTAGGACTAGAGAAAGGACTGATTTTCCAGATCAAGGTGCCTGTTGGATCTTGGTACTTCAAGGTACCTCAACTTTCTCATCCCCATGTGTGTAAGCTCCATGGAGAGTAGGGACTTTGTTTCTTTTATTCACCGCTGCATAGCCAGTGCCTTGAACAGGGCCTCACATGAAATAGGCACTCAATAACTGTTGGTAAAGTGAATGAGCAAACTTATAAAAGTAAAGATACCCTCCTCATAGACTTAATTGTGAGAGTCAAAATGTCACAGAGGTGGAGAATTTTTACTTGTGACTTTGCACATTCTGGTAGTATTAAAATTTTATATTCTGTATTACTTTTTTATACTTTTATTACATTTATCAATATTAAAAATTAATGAGTATAATATGTGAAATCACTTTGGAAATGATCCTGATTTTGTTTCAGCTATATATATAACGCACCGAAGTTGCTTTGTAATCATTGAGTACTGAAATAAGAATACATGCATACTACAATAATATATGTTTAGTATATATTGCTATATATAATAGTTTATAGCAGCTTTGAAATTCTTAAAGTGTTTATATATAGGCTGTCTTGGTATATCTTAAGGACTATAAGTTGCTTGGGATACTTTTTCAGGGAGAAACTAGTGAGCCCTAAGTCTATAATGCTTCTTAAAAGGAGTCTGAGGATCAAGTTACAGTTTTGCCTCATGTGACTGGAACATAAATATAGTGGACTATGTCTTGGTAGAAGCAGAACCATGTGCTTTACATTTGCTGCTGCTGCTGCAAAGTAGCTTCAGTCGTGTCCAACTTTTTGCAACCCTATGGTCCATAGCCTGGCAGGCTCCTCTGTCCATGGGATTCTCCAGGCAAGAATACTGGAGTGGGTTACCATGCCCTCCTCCAGGGGATCTTCCTGACCCAGGGATCAAACCTGCATCTCTTATGTCTCCTGCATTTGCAGGCAGGTTCTTTAAAGGTAAAAGAGAGATCAGAAATATAGAGGGGAATACTTGTGCCAAGAATAAGGATGTACAAATACTATGATTAAACATTAAATTGAGCACCAAACTTTCTAGCAACCATGGCAAAGAAAAGAGATCAATGATAAAAGAAAGCTAACTTTTTCATGTAAAAGATTACTTTTGGGGGCTCTAAATTCTAGAAGATAGGTCTTAGTCTTTTGATCTTGGTATTTTTTTTTCATTTATGTCCTAAAGCACAATTCATAGGGTTTAAGCTTTATGCAAATCAAATATTCATTTGGCTCACCTGTATGTTTCTGTATTGTGCTTTTGTTTCAGAGAACTGTGTACTAAACTGTATAGCCTGAGCTGGGGCAATACACAGAGTTGGCAAGAGTTCGATCGCTTTTGTGAATATAATCCAGTGGAAGTGTCCATGTTGACCTGTTTAGCTGATGTCCGGGAACCTTGCCAGTTGGGCTGTAGAAACCTCACCTACTGCACTAATTTTAACAACAGGTGAGAGCAGATTACTCCACAGGGAATGGAAGTATTTTATCATTAATTGTCTTATGTTTAAATAAGTGAAAAAATGTCATTTTAGCAGGAACTCTGCTAAAGTGTTCCTTAGCAGGAGTTCCTTAAGAATTCTGCTTTTGTTCCTGCTAAGTTAAAGGGAAGTAGTATATCTTTATCATTTCATCTTTAAAGGCTATATTCTATCTGGTAAACCACCACTGGGAAACGAAGCAGTATAACAAAGCCACTTCTAATCTGAAGATGCTTCAAACTTCTAGAATTCAGAGTCCCTCTACCTTCAATCTCCCATTCTTCCCCTCTCCCTTCCTCTGCACCACCAGTGAAAAAATAATTCATTGCAGAATAAAGCAGTGTGAACAATTTCCTCATCCAAATACCCTCTTATGAGAACTTGCTGTGAAGGACCTTCAGATTGGCTGGAGTTCACACTGTGAGTCCCCTATGTCATACAAAAGCTTTCTTTACAGAAGCAATTGACTAGGTGTTTTCATGAGATATCCATTATGGTAAGAAAAATAAGAGCCAAGAACTGAATCAATGGCTGAAGAAGGAGTGAAGAAACCAGGAAAGCGGCCTCAGAAGCCTAGGGGTGCTGTGCCAGAGAAGCCAGAGAGGGAGAGTTCCTAAAGAAAAGGGGGCCAGTTGTTTGTGAGGCACAGCCCAGAGATCAGAGGGCAGAAACGAAGAGAATCAGTCAGCTGATCCAGAAGGAAGTTCATAGGATATTTACCTCAAGCTAACACACCTTTGAGGTCTGTTACCTTAGTCCCTTGAAGTAACCACATAGGATGTTTACCTCAAGCTAACACACCTTGGGGAGTTTACCTCAAGCTAGTTCCATCCTCTTAAAAGTCTTCAGATTATTATTTTAAGAAAGAAAATTGAGATATCTTTACAACTAATATTAGCCAATAAGGACCTGACTTAGAGGTTGAGCAAATTTGAAATCTATAAAATGTTTAAAGTTAAATTTGGACATATTACTAACTTGTGGTAATGTTGGAGCAGTTTATATTGGACTAACACTCCTGTCAATACCAATTATGGCTATCATGGCGGGCTTGCTGAAGACCACTGACCTTGTGGGATTAGCTGTATGTAATACTCCATATGAGAGGCTAAAAATATTGTATACAAGGATTCTTGATGTTCTTGGACAGACCCCTAAAACATGCAGCATATAGAAAGTATACAGAACAGATTACCAATGAGAAGCTGAGTATGGTTAAAGTGGAAGTGAAGTGAAGTCGCTCAGTCGTATCCAACTCTTTGAGACACCATGGACTGTAGCCTACCGGGCTCCTCCATCCATGGGATTTCCCAGGCAAGAATACTGGAGTGGGTTGCCATTTCCTTCTCCAGGGGATCTTCCCGACCCAGGGATCAAACCCAGGTCTCCCGCATTGTAGGCAGAGGCTTTACCATCTGAGCCACCAGGGAAGCCCAGTTAAAGCGGAACCAGATGTTAAAAATCTAAGAGAGCAACTTCAGGATGGCCAAATAGAAAAGGTGATTCTTCAAGCTGAAAAGGAACTAAGCCTGACAAGAAAAATGGTTCAGTGGAAACCATGGGATCCTTTAGTGAAAGAGCCTCCTGCCAACCAATGGAAATGGCCAGTATAAACAGCCTTCAGTGACTTGTGTGTTGATAGGAAACTGATATAATTAAATATTTTTTATATTAAAAAAATACCAATTATTAGCTCTACAACGTACAAAAACACAATTGTTTTGGAGGCCTTTGAGAGTGACCTAAAGCAGGAAGAACTACATCTCCTGAGTAGGAGTAGGAGTAGGCCCTCACACTGAGTGAGGGCCGCTTTTATCCAGCTTTTCCTTCATAGGCAGTCTTAGTCCCCTGGCACGGCATATAGATTTCAAGCAAAAAGCAGCAGTATTGGACTGAGGAGTTAAGAGATCAGAGTTTGGGGCTGCCAGAGTAGCTGGATGTGGAGACAGAAAATCCCAGAAAGGAGGGAACCGCAAAAGGAGATGACATAAAATCTGCATACAAACTCCCCTTAAATCCTTGAATTTGACAGAGTCATAGGGTACAAGGTTAACATAAAAAAGCAAATTGTATTTCTGTTTATTAGCAACAAAAAATTAGAAAATGAAATTTATAAAAAAAATTATATAACTGCATAAAAAATATGAAATACTTAGAGATAAATTCAACAAAAGATGTATAATAATTCTACACTAGAAACCAGAAAACTTTGCAAAAAGAAATTAAAGACAGAAAATACATGGAGAGAAGTACTATGTTATAGATTAGAACATCTTAATATTGTTAAGATGTTAATTCTCCTGAAACCAATCTGAACTCTAGTCAGTGCAATTTCAATCAAAATCCCAAATGACTTTTTAAAATAGAAAGTGGCAGTCTTATTCTAAAATTCATATGAAAATACAAAGAACCTAGAATACCTAAAACAGTATTTTTAAAGACTAAATTTGGAGACCTTACAATACATGATTTCAAGATTTATCATAAAGCAATAGAAATTAAATCAGTATGATATTGGCATAAGTTTAGACAAACAGATCAATGACAAAGTAGAGAAGCAAGAGTAGACCCACACAGTACTGAAACTTGATTTTCAACAAAGCAAAGCAACTCAGTGGAAAAGTTACATCTTTTCCACAAATAATGCAGGAACAATTGAATATCTGTGTGAAAACAGAAAAGAACCTTAACCTCTATCTTGCACCATAAACATTAATTCAAGATGGGTCATAGAAATAAAAACAAAACCTAAAAATAAAAGCTTCTAGAAAAAAAATAGGAGGATCTCTTGACAACCATGATATAGAGAAAGATTTTTTAGACAGGACACAATATATTAATTATAACAGAAAAAAAATAATGAGCTGGAGTTCAACAGCAAACATTTTTGTTATCTAAAAGACACCATTTAAAATTTGAAAAGATAAGCCACAGTCTGAGAAAAAATACTTCCTACATCACACATGCACACACACACACAATCACACACAGGTGCATTTGACAAAGGTATTATATCCAGGATATATAAATAATTCAAGGATATATAAATAATTCCTATAACAGCATAGTAAAAGTCAAACAGCCAAATTGAAAAATGGGCAAAAAAACTTCCAAGGACACTACATCAAAAAAGACATCAAAACAAACAGTATAGAAGAAATTCATTACTATTAGTCATGCAAAAATGCAAATTAAAACCCCAATGAGATGCTTCCTGATACCAAATAGCTAAAATCAGAAGACTGCCAAGCATGTGCATGAAATGGAATTTTCATAATTTGCTTCTGGGAGTATAAGATGTGTTTAAGTACTTTGGAAAGTTTTCTTGCAATTTCTTAAAAAGTTAAATCTGTGCCCTAGCAATTTCATTCTGAAGCATTTACCCAAGAGACATGAAAATATATGTTCCCCCAAAAAGGCTTACATAGCAGCCTTATTCATAAGAACTCCAAAATGAGGAGCGGGAGCGGATAAATAAAACATCTATCAAGAAGAGAATGAAAGAACATATTGTGGTATTTAAACAATAGAATAGCTAGTACCTAGCCTGGGGAATCCCAGGGACAGCGGAGCCTGGTGGGCTGCCATCTATGGGGTCGCACAGAGTCAGACGCGACTGAAGTGACTTAGCAGCAGCAGGAGAGAAAAAAAAGCAAACTACTGATAAACCCCAAAACACAGATGAACCTTATGTTGAGTGAAAGAAGCCCGACCCAAAACACATCCACATTATGAGTCCAAGAAGAGACAAAAGTAAGCATTGAGGGTTAGGATCAGAATCTCCCCTCGCCCCTGGCAGGAGGGGAGAATGCCTGGAGGAATGCATGAGGGAGCTTCATGGAGTGATAGAAATGTTCTGTAGTTTATTTGGAGGTTTGATTATATGGATGAATATAAGTTTCCAAACTTACTGAACTCTTAAGATCTTCACATTATATTGTATGTAAATTAAACCCCAATAATATAGTATCTCAAATAAATTTTTAAAGTTAAAAAAATTTGTTCATTGAAAGATACCATTGAGAAAAAAATGAAAAGGCAAACCACAAGCTGACAGAAAATATTTGTAATACATGTATCTGACAAAGAACGTCCAGAATATATAAAGAGTTCTTACAACTCAATAGTAAAAAGACAACTTTAAAAAAAAGTCAAAAGGCTGGAAAGATGCTTCACAAATGAAGATATCAAAATGGTCAGTAAGTGCATGAAAAGGTGCTCAGTGCAATTAGTCATCACAAAATGCAAATTAAAACCAGTGATGTACCTCTACACACAATTGAGTGACTAACTACAAAGCCTGACAAGCATGTAAATCAGCTAGAATTTTCATACTTTGCTGGCGAGAGCAGAAGATGATACAACTGCTTTGGAAAACAGTTTGACAGTTTCTTAGAAAGTTATAACCCAACAGTGCCATTCTCAGCCAGGGGAAAGAGACATGAAAACCAGAAGCAACCTGATTGTCGCTAAACCGGTGAAGAGTAAACCCGCATTTCTCAAAGTGTGTTCTGTTTTCCCAAAACCCCATGAGATTAAAATATTATAATAATATATTATAATAATACTAAGACATTATTTGCCTTTTTAACTCACAAGAGTGAATAGTGAGGTTTTCCAGCTGCTTTAAGGTGTGATATAGCAACAGATTGAATTCAGGGGCAGATATGAAAGTGCCTGTGTCTTCTATAAAGCCAAACATTAAAAGAGATTTTCAAAACTGTGAAACAGACCTACCCTTCTCTTCCTTTTGTTAATGTGTAGTGGGTTTATCATTTTAAATGGATTAATAAGTAGTTTAAAAACCTCTCCATTTTGATTTATAATATGATGATGGGGTATTGGTATATATAGTCTACATAAACAGAAGCTTTTTGAGAACTCAGTAGTTTCAAAAGTGTAAATGGGTCCTGAGATCATAAAGTTTGGGAACCACTGGGATAAACAAATTGTGATACACTTATTAATAAAATATGACTGAACAATAAAAAGAGCAAGCAATTTATATGCACAACATGAGTAAATCTCAAGATTCTTTAGCTCAAGATATTAGACCCAGAAGACTACATACAGTGTGATTCCATTTGAGAATTAATCTCTGGTGATCTGAATATGAATGGTGGTGGCCTCTGGGGTGCAGTAGCAGGGAAGGGCATTGACTAGATGGGGACACAAGGGAACTTTTTAACAGGATAGAAATGTTCCTCATTGATTTGGATATGCCCGTGTGAATGTATATGTTTGTCAAATTGAACTAACCATAAGATCTGTAAATTTTATTTTTATAAATTATACCTCAGGTTTTAAAACTTGAACTTATTTATTTTATGAGATGAAAGAAATGGTATGGTCCGAGATGATAGTCGACAGTGTTTTGAGGTTTTTAACTGCCTCACAAAAATCTGTATTATAAAGAAAAATTTCAATCAGAGTCTTAGTGCTGATGTCCACTTTGAATCTTCATACATTCAAAGCTGACATTCTTTGGTGGGTTGCATGCACTTTCTTCTTTAAAAAAAAATTTTCCTGATATATTGGCATGTCAAGATTTTACACATTGCTTCTTTCTAGAAAATAATTGCCTCTTGATTCCTTCTGACCTTTTTTCTCTTCAGGCCAACAGAACTTTTCAGGAGTTGCAATGCTCAGTCAGATCAAGGAGCCATGAATGACATGAAGCTGTGGGAAAAAGGAAGCATAAAGATGCCATTTATCAACATACCTGTTCTTGACATTAAAAAGTGCCAACCAGAAATGTGGAAAGCAATAGCTTGTTCGCTGCAGATTAAGCCTTGTCATAGTAAATCACGGGGCAGTATTATTTGCAAGTAAGTTTCTTTCATCATGATGACTCTCCAGTTTTGGTTTGGACCCTCTGTGACCTCTACCCACAGCCTACCTTAGAGTCACCACCCCCTCATGTCAAATGTGCTCCCACTTTTCCTTCTCTGCCTAAAACACTCTTCCTCCTACCTGCATCTTTACTCACCCACAGCCTGTCCTTCTTAGCCCCTCTTAAATTCCAGGCCTTGCTGTGGAATCTTCCCAGATTTCTCCAGCTGATACGTAGTTTATCCAGACTACAAATTCCTATAGACCTTCATTTGTACTTTTCTCATGGAACTTAGTTCAAGAAACAGTGAGTACCTTCGATGCACAATTCTATTCGTTTATTTTAATTTGTGTATTTGTCTTATATCCTGTTAGCTTTGCTCTCCTTGAGGATAAACATTCTTCTTTGAACCTTTTTTTCTTATCTTTTCTCTCTTCTTTTTCTCCTCTTCAGGAATGAGCATAATCCTAAAGTGCAATAGATATTCCAGAAATGTTTGATGAGTGAAAGACTTAGTAAATATAGTCAATAAGGTCTGTTCCTAATAAACATTTCTGAATGATGTATTTATTAAGATCTATTGTAGGATAAAGTTTTAAGGACCTATTGTATAGCACAGGGAACTATACTCAATATTTTGAAATAACCTATAAAGGAGAAGAATCTGAAAAAGAGTATATATATATAGATATAGATATACACACACACACATATATATAACTAAACCAGTTTGTTGTACATCTGAAACCAACACAGCATTATAAATCAACTATACTTCAATTAAAAAATTAAATTGAAAAAATTTTAAGTAAATAGGAAGATAAAAAGAGGGGATCTGGATAAAATAAAGATGAAAGTTGCTGTGGTGTGTGAAACCAGAAGCATTAACTACATAGTAATCTCTGTCAGCTTCTCTTCAAGCATCTATTTTTTGCCAAAAACCTTTTCCAAAACCAAGTTAATATCCAGCCCCTAAGTTTCTGGGCACTTGATGACTGATTGCAGATTATTTCAATCTTGAATAGGGTCCAGATCCATTCTCTGACATGACTTGGGGGTGGCCTGAGTAGGGGAGAGTTGAGAAATAACTACTGTGTGAAAGGCAAGAGGCAACAAGTGGGAAATTTATAGACTCTTAGCACAGAAACTTGATAGAGTGGTCAAATTTCTATTGAAGACAGAAAATTTTAAAGTAGTGAATTTCCCAGTTGTTATAGGCCAAACACTTTAATGTTGATATAAACAGATATTTAAAAAGAGAAAGGCACGAAGGGGTGAGGGGAGAAGAAAGGAAGAAGCAAACATGCATGGGCCCTGAGAGAAAGGAATATGATTTCACAAAGAGCACATCAGACTAGCCTAGGTTAATTTCCTTCCAATGACAGTGGAAAACCACATTGATAGTAGTGACAGTAGGTATGAGTGTAAAATTTGAGCAAGGCTTTTGATCTCAGGTCAGAGAAAGTTAGGGATGCTTTGATAGTGTAATACATTACTTACTCTTCAACCTAAGGTCTGCTGTCACTCCTATTCTCTTTTATCATGCACCTAACAAAGTGTGAAACATTGTTGAGTTGTAAAACTCACTTTCTGAAAAGCTTCTGAAACAGAATTGTTATTGGCTAGGCAACATGAGGAGTGAGGAAGTTCCTCAAATCCTAAATTTGTATGTATTTTCCTTTTCAAGATCAGATTGTGTAGAGATTCTCAAGAAATGTGGGGACCAGAACAAATTCCCTGAAGACCACACAGCTGAAAGTATTTGTGAGCTTCTGTCACCCACAGATGACCTGGAGAATTGCATACCTTTGGATACATACCTCAGTAAGTACTTTTTTTTTAAATTTAAAGGCTTCTCCCTTCTATCTCTGCCCTTGATGTCTGCTTTCATGAGCATCTATCTCTTGAGAACATGTGGTTTGATGATAATATCTCATCTGCGGACTCTTATCTTATTTGCTTGCCCTTTTCAGCCCAGGAAAGAATTGTCATCTTAAAATATGTACATAGAAGCAACTATCATTATCAGTCTGAGTGGGTAGTGAACTGTTGTCGATCAGAAATTTTTAGTGATGAGTCATGTGTCAGCATTCTCAAATAACCAGGTCTTTATCATTGCTGTCTCCTTGCCATGATTTGATCAAGTAGAATTTCCCCTAGGGAGTCTTCAGCTTCAGCTTCTTGTCATCTAAGTATCAGTGGAAGCTGAGCCAGGCATTGGCTTGGACTTACCCACCAAATAGGGAGTAAGGAATGATGGTCTGGGTTAGTACATGAAAATGGAGTTTTCCTCTGTACCAAATACTCCTACCTAGAACTAGAAGAATAAGTTTCTATCTCCTCGAGGGATTCTGGAGCTAAGCTTCCTAGCAGAAGGTGACTGTGTGGTGGAAACCAGGGAATAAAATTCATAGACACTATATAGTTAAGGGGCTTCTCTGGTGGCTCAGTAAAAAGTCTACCTGCAATGCTGGAGACCTGGGTTCGATCCCTGGGTTGGGACGATCTGGAGAAGGGCCTGGCAACCCACTCCAGTATTCTTGCCTGGAGAACCCCTGTGGGCTGGTGGGCTATACAGTCCCTGGGGTCGCAGAGTCAGACATGACTGAGAGACTAAGTACATATAGTTAAGAGAAGTGTTTAGGCTAGCACTGAGGGGCTTAGTGCTGTGAGCTGGCTCAAACTAGCTTTATTTCCCTGTGTTAAGATAGGATTAAGTTCAGCTGCAAATAATAGAACAGATGGAAGCAAAAGAAAGCCCAGAAATAAATAGTCTAGGGCTGTTACAGTGGAATCCCGGTTCCCTTTTCTTTCTCCACTATTCTTAGTGCTTGGCTTCCATCATCAAGGTTACTTCATGTACTTTACCATCACAACATGACTATTTTAATTCTAGCTACCTCATGTAAGGGAAAACCACCCCTCATTGTATGGGAAGCTGGGAAAGATTTTTTATCTGTGGGCCTATTGCCAGCCTGGTAGTAAGTAAAAAGAACAGAATGGGCACTACGTTTGCAGCTCACAGCATCCACTATATTTTAATCAAGACAAACAGACCGTGTCCCTTAACCTTAGTGACAAGTGTAGAAAAAAGAGAGCATTAGACTCACTAGAATCATAGGCCTCTGTGATTTTAAGCAGATGACTTCTGTGAGCCTCAGCTTCCCTATTTATAAAATGATAGGGCTGGATGAGATAAATTCCATAAGTCCTATACTCTGTTAGCCTTAGAGTCTGAGTCTGGCCTAAAATCCAGTAAGCAAAATGAGTGTATTCATAATCCTGAATGCCAATAATGTAGTCAAATATATGTGTAGACGGAGACTATTTCAGTGGGAGGAAACTTAAAGAAATGCTTTTGTTTACATTTCAGTACTCTTAAAATGTCACACAGAGTTTGCCTTCCATGTCCATAGGTTCTGCATTTGCAAATTGAAAATATTCAGGAAAAAAAACTCCAGAAAGTTCCAAAAAGCAAAATTTGAATGTTGTATACCTAGAAACTACTTACATAGCATTTACATTTTATTTGTAACTATTTGCATCATATTTACATTGTATTAGGTATTATAAATAATCTGGAGATAATTTAAAGTATGCAGGAGAGTGTGCTTACGTTATATGCAAATTCTACACCATTTTATATAAAGGACTTGAGCATTCTCAGAATTTGATATCCATGGGAGTGTTGGAGTCAATCCCCCACAGATATATGACTGTATATTAAGTGAGATTTTTCCTTGGTCATTATTTAATAAGTTAACCAATATGATCATGGTATATGGTCCATCTTACCATAATAAATTATCATTATTTATGGTGAACGTGCTAAATTATCCCTCTTAGACATAAGCATCTATTTGACCACCTTATTCAAAATATATGTTACGTTCCATCCCTTTATACTGCTTATAGTTATCTGACTTTTTACTTACATTCATACACGCACACATGCAGAGTCTATTTATTATCTATTTCCTGACCACAATGTAAACTCTATAGAGATTTGCCTTTTTTGTTCACTTCTGTATCTCCAGAACCTAGAACCTTGCCAGGCATTATCATAGGCACCCAATAAATAAACAAATAAATGAATGTTTGTTTATGCTAAATGCACAGTTGATCAGGAAATCTGTTTCAATAACTCACTTGAATCAGACCTCATGTTGTTGTTCAGTCCCTCAGTTGTGTCCAGTTCTTTGCCACCCCATGGACTGCAGCACGCCAGGCTTCCCTGTCCTTAACTATCTCCCAGAGTTTGCTTAAACTCATGTTTATTGAGTGGATGATCCAAACCAACCATCTCATCCTCTGCCACCCCCTTCTGCTCCTGCCCTGAATCTTTCCCAGCATCAGGGTCTTTTCTGTTGAGTCAGCTCTTCACTTCAGGTGGCCAAAGTATTAGAGCTTCAGCTTCAGCATCAGTCCTTCCAATGAATATTCAGGGTTGATTTCCTTTAGGATTGACTAATTGGATTTCCTTATTGACCAATGGACCCTCAAGAGTCTCGTCCAGCAACACAGTTTGAAAGCATCAATTCTTTGGTGCTCAGCCTTCTTCGTGGTCCAACTCTCACATCAATACATGACTACTGGAAAAACCATAGCTTTGACTATACAGACCTCATTAGCTGTCCATCACTTCCAGATGTCATTAATTCAGACAATTTACAGACCTCTTCTACTCTTTTGGGTTTTTGAACTGATCTGTTTTTGTTTTCTCAGGGCCAAGTTCTTTAGGTAACATTGTTGAAGAGGTGACTCATCCTTGTAACCCAAACCCTTGCCCTGCTAACGAGCTCTGTGAGGTAAACCGGAAAGGTTGTCCATCTGGTGATCCCTGCCTTCCATACTCTTGTGTTCAGGGTAAGAGGTGGGGTGGGGTGTGGGATGGGCAAGGGGATGTGCTGCTGTTGTTTCTTCATAGGAGTTATCTTCAGAATGAGATTATTTTCTAAATTATGTTTTTCAAATAAACATGTATTATTTATGTAAGCAGAGGAAGACAAAAAAATAATTTTCAGTAGTCATTTAGATTGTAAACTTATTTCACTTTCAAAACCAGATTCTCATAATGAGTCATAAGGTTCTTGACAACCAAAGGAAAACAGAACCTTGGGCTAGTTTTTTGTACTTGGTCTTCTATGTTGCAATGTTTGAGAAAATGCACTGCACATTATTCATGTTTTTTTCTTTTCTTTTCCTTTAATACATAGGGAAATAGTGTTCTCAATTGGATGTGTAATTATCTTCATAAGTTTAATGTTGTGCTGGAATGCAAAATGTTTTAAGGCTGAAAAATTTTTATCCCATAGAATATTTATGATCTTTATCTCTGTGTGGGCCCCTTTAGAATATGTGTGCTTTCTTTTACCTATTTTCCAATTGAAAATATTTCTTTGTCATGTTAGAATCAACATTTTTAAACATGTGAAGTAAAAAGGAACAAAATATTAAATGAGCATATCTCAAAGGGCCCTTTATAATATTTGTGTAATACTTAGAAAAAATGGAGGAGCCATCATGGTCAACAAAAGACTCCAGAATGCAGTACTTGGATGCATCTCAGAAACGACAGAGCGATCTGTTTGTTTCCAAGGCAAGCCATTCAGTATCACGGTGATCCAAGCCTATGCCCCAACCAGTAACGCTGAAGAAGCTCAAGCTGAATGGTTCTATGAAGACCTACGAGACCTTTTAGAACTAACACCCAAAAAAGATGTCCTTTTCATTATAGGGAACTGGAATGCAAAAGTAGGAAGTCAAGAAACACCTGGAGTAACAGGCAAATTTGGCCTTGGGGTACAGAATGAAGCAGGGCAAAGGCTAACAGAGTTTTGCCAAGAGAACACACTGGTCATAGCAAACACCCTCTTCCAACAACACAAGAGAAGACTCTACACATGGACATCACCAGACGGTCAACACCGAAATCAAATTGATTATATTCTTTGCAGCCAAAGATGGAGAAACTCTATACAGTCAGCAAAAACAAGACTGGGAGCTGATTGTGGCTCAGATCATGAACTCCTTATTGCAAAATTCAGACTTAAATTGAAGAAAGTAGGGAAAACCACTAGACCATTCAGGTATGACCTAAATCAAATCCCTTATGACTATACAGTGGAAGTGAGAAATAGATTTAAGGGACTAGATCTGGTCCTGATGAACTATGGATGGAGGTTCATGACATTGTATAGGAGACAGGGATCAAGACCATCCCCATGGAAAAGAAATGCAAAAAGGTAAAATGGTTGTCTGAGGAGGCCTTACAAATAGCTGCGAAAAGAAGAGAAGTGAAAAGCAAAGGAGAAAAGGAAAGATATTCCCATTTGAATGCAGAGTTCCAAAGAATAGTAAGGAGAGATAAGAAAGCCTTCCTCAGCAATCAGTGCAAAGAAATAGAGGAAAACAACAGAATGGGAAAGACGAGATCTCTTCAAGAAAATGAGAGATACCAAGGGAAAATTTCATGCCAAGGTGGGCTCAACAAAGGATAGAAATAGTATGGACCTAACAGAAGCAGAAGATATTAAGAAGAGGAGGCAAGAATACACAGAAGAACTGTACAAAAAAGACCTTCATGACCCAGATAATCACGATGGTGTGATCACTCACCTAGAGCAAGACATCCGGGAATGTGAAGTCAAGTGGGCCTTAGGAAGCATCACTATGAACAAAGCTAGTAGAGGTGATGGAATTCCAGTTGAGCAATTTCAAATCCTGAAAGATGGTGCTGTGAAAGTGCTGCACTCAATATGCCAGCAAATTTGGAAAACTCAGCAGTGGCCACAGGACTGGAAAAGGTCAGTTTTCATTCCAATCCCAAAGAAAGGCAATGCCAAAGAATGCTCAAACTACCACACAATTGCACTCATCCCCCACACTAGTAAAGTAATGCTCAAAATTCTCCAAGCCAGGCTTCAGCAATATATGAACCATAAACTTCCAGATGTTCAAGCTGGTTTTAGAAAAGGCAGAGGAACCAGAGATCAAATTGCCAACATTTGCTGGATCATCAAAAAAGCAAGATTTCCAGAAAAACATCTATTTCTGCTTTATTGACTATGCAGAAGCCTTTGACTGTGTGGATCACAATAAACTGTGGAAAATTCTGAAAGAGATGGGAATACCAGACCACCTGACCTGCCTCTTGAGACATCTGTATGCAGGTCAGGAAGCAACAGTTAGAACCGGATATGGAACAACAGACTGGTTCCAAATAGGAAAAGGAATGCGTCAAGGCTGTATATTGTCACCCTGCTTATTTAACTTATATGCAGAGTACATCATGAGAAATGCTGGGCTGAATGAAGCACAAGCTGGAATCAAGATTGCCAGGAGAAATATCAATAACCTCAGATATGCAGATGACACCACTCTTATGACAGAAAGTGAAGAAGAACTAAAAAGCCTCTTGATGAAAGTGAAAGAGGAGAGTGAAAAAGTTGGCTTAAAGCTCAATGTTCAGAAAATTAAGATCATGGCATCTGGTCCCATCACTTCATGGTAAATAGATGGGGAAACAGTGGAAATAGTGGCTGACTATTTTTCTGGGCTCCAAAATCATTGCAGCTGGTGATTGCAGCCATGAAATTAAAAGACACTTACTTCTTGGAAGGAAAGTTATGACCAACCTAGACAGCATATTAAAAATCAAAGACATTACTTTGCCAACAAAAGTCCGTCTAGTCGAGGCTATGGTTTTTCCAGTGGTCACGTATGGATGTGAGAGTTGGACTGTGAAGAAAGCTGAGCACCGAAAAATTGATGCTTTTGAACTGTGGTGTTGGAGAAGACTTGAGAGTCCCTTGGACTGCAAGGAGATCCAACCAGTCCATACTAAAGGAGATCAGTCCTGGGTGTTCATTGGAAGGACTGATGCTGAAGTTGAAACTCCAATACTTTGGCCACCTCATGCGAAGAGTTGACTCTTTGGAAAAGACCCTGATACTGGGAGGGATTGGGGGCAGGAGGAGAAGGGGACAACAGAGGATGAGATGGTTGGATGGCATCACCAACTCAATGGACATGATTTGGGTAAACTCCAGGAGTTGGTGATGGACATGGAGGCCTGGTGTGCTGCGATTCATGGGGTCGCGAAGAGTCAGACATGACTGAGCGACTGAACTGAACTGAACTGATACCAGCTATAGCATCATAATAAATCTTGTTACAAGTGAAAATAAACGGATTTTCCTTAAGTCCAATCAAGTATTCACTTTTCTTTGAATTTAAGATGTGTCTTCATTCCATCTCTAAAAGTTTTCTGACCAGATTATTCTAAAATTACTCTCAGTTGCCATGTTACATTTTTTAAACATCTGTGATTTTAAAATATATTTGATAAGCCTTAAAAATTTTTAAGAACTACTTTTCTTACAGCTTTTTTGTAAGAATTGTCGCTAACTTTGGGGTATATGTCCTTTAATCACCACCACTTCACAGACGGAACATGGAATTTTTGTTTGTTTGTGGCCAGTGAACCAAAGCAATTCCCTAGTTTAGTGAAAGTTTTATTACGTAATCTTTAGTGGCCACACAATATCTACAAAACTTACGTGAAGTGTATCTGATATCACAGAACAATATCAGGGAACAGTACCAGCTCTCTCAGCTCGTTTTTGTCCCTACAGGCTGCAAATTGGGAGAAGCATCTGATTTTATTGTCCGTCAAGGGACACTGATCCAGGTGCCGTCATCTTCAGGGGAAGTTGGTTGTTACAAAATTTGCTCATGTGGGCAAAGTGGACTCTTAGAAAACTGTATAGAGATGCACTGTATAGACCTTCAGAAGTCTTGTATTGTTGGAGGAAAAAGAAAAAGTGAGTCTTGAACTGTTTTTATTTGTTTTTTTGTTTTATTTTGTTTTTAACACAAGATTAGTTGTATTAACTTGGTAGGGAGAACATTGGATGGCTTCCTCACCAGGGAGTAAAAGTCTACAAATCAGATATTCTAGGGAAGTATTTTTCAAACTCTATGGAACACAAGGGCTTCTAAGGAACTCTCTTAGAAGCCTAATCAAAAGGGACTACTAACAGCTGATAGTAACTAACACTTACTGAACTCTTAACTATGTGCCAATACTATATACTAAGTCTTGGCCTGTGTTATCTCATTAAATCCTCCCAGATGTTTAATACAGGTACTATGTAAGGAAGCTGATGCTTAGAGAGGTCACCTAACTAGTAAATGATCAAAGCAGAATTCAGTCCTAGGCCTATTTGACAACAACGCCCTTGCCCTCCACAGGCAAGGACACAGGTCTGCTCCTTCCCACCCATTTCTCAACAGTCTGTCTCTGCTTTGCCCCTTTCCCAGAAGTAAAACCCAGAGGTTGACTTCATGGAAAGCAAAGGGATGGGAACTGCACTGTTGGTTAGGGGTTGGGAGAGAGCACATTAAGAGTGCCTCCCCATTTGATCACCTTTTCTAAAAGTCTGAGGGTCTTGCTTTCTCATTGCTTCCTTAAACCATCTTTTGCTTATAGCCCTTAGTAACTCTTCATATCAATATATAACCTAAAAAACTGTGAAAAAAAAAATACCACTTTTGAGAATGTGTTCCCCACCCCACCTGCTCATTCTGCTACCTCTGTATCCATCCCCTTACCCATCAACTAGAGTAGTTCAGCTTTTCTATGCCTCTTGTTCTACTCTTCTGTGTGAGATCTTACTTTAAGAAGAGTACTTTTGACTAAAAAGAGCTTGCAAATTTCTGCTTAGACCAGCAAGTCAGGTATTCATTGCTTAGTCCATATTCTAATTAGCTAAAATGTAACATAGGTACCTTGAATCACAGAAAACATCGGAAGATAAACTCATTCTTTCCATAAACTTTTACTGAGTAAATACCTTTTCTGTACAAGAGAACCTGGGATGGGGAATTGAAGTCATGCTTTACATGATAAGATATGAGAGAATTTGGAGCAGTCTAGTGAGATGAGCATATTAGGGGTTTGGAGGGGATATGGGGGGAGGTCAATATGAAAACACCAATATTACAAGTTTAATTCCCTAGTTTATATATTCAGAAGTCATCTTTCAAGAATTTCTATTTTAAAACTTTTTAAACTATGTAATTTTTTATTTGTGATTTATTTATAAATGCATGACACAGCTCAGCTTTTTATTTCTCTTTTTCTCAGGTCATGGAACTTCCTTTAATGTCGACTGCAATATCTGTTCTTGTTTTGCTGGCAATTTGGTGTGTTCCACCCGCTTGTGTCTCAGTGAGCACAGCTCAGAAGATGACCGCCGCACCTTCACAGGTAACTGTGGCCGTCTAGCAGCCGTCCTCACCCTTGTACCCGTTCTCCTTGGAGGCGGCCTCTCGCCAGCTGCAAGTGTGCACAGCAAAGTCAGCACACAGCCTGAGAGCAGGGTGCTTTGCTCTCTGGATTGCTTCCTCTCCTATAAATTGAAGGCATTAAAGTAAGTGGTTTCTTAAGGTCCTTTTGAAATTCCATAAGTCGAAAAGAACAGGGCCAGTGATTGGTATAGTTTTAGTTAAATGGAATTTTTCTACCTGCTGAAACACCCATTTACGCCACCATTATAGTCTAAAGTGTCCATGCATTCTGTAAGTTTGCTTCTGTGTTTGTTGTTTTTAAACTATGTTCTTCCTTGTCCTGCCTTGGCTTACTGGATTCATATAGGCAGGGGGCATAAACAAAGCTACTGGAAGAAAAAGTAAAGACTGTTTCTCCCACTCTAGATATAAACTCTGTAATTTAGATATGTCAAGTCTGGGAGTTTTCTGGAATGTTGAAGGGTGATAACAATAGCAAGACAAAGACAGAGGTTGTAAACACCTTACATAGATTCCTTCCATTCATATCTCCTTAGAGAGGGGGGAAAACAGGGAAGTAACTTGGGAAATTACTGTAATTGTGAAAATTAATTTTTATGAACAGTCAATCAAGAATACTACTTTCTTGACTTTCCTAGGCTTTATGCTGCTGGTATTACGCTCACATCAGCCACAGTAAGTAACAAGGTTAGTGAGATGAGATGCTCTTTTCTTGAGAAGAAACTCCAGTGGTCAACAGCAACAGCATAGTTGCCAGTATTCACTGGTATCTACTTTTTCCCCAAATCTGGTTCTGGGCAAAAAGGAGTTAGGTAGTTGCCCTTAAACCATTTCTTGCTGCTGCAGCAGCAGCTTGACTCTGAGTTGGTATTACACATGGAATAGGGTAGGAAGAGAACAGAATAGGGTTTACCAACCTTGTATCTCCAGCACATTGGAAATAAAAGGGAGATCAGAAACAAGAAGTGAACACAGACTGATGGGGAAGGACCATCAGCTGGCAGGACCAGCTGCAACCCATCCTCTATCCACCCTAATGAGCACCAGGTTTTGCTGCTTTATTGTCTTGTTGTTGTTGTCCTTTATTTTTATCCTTTATCTGCTGCGCTCTGGTGAGGACAATTCATTCTGCCTAGAGAAACCAAAAAATGATGTGGGATGAGAAATGAACTAAAGATTTACAAGGAAGACTTTTACTTATTTACTTACGTCACAGTGTTTTTAGAAGTTGAAGTTTACAACTAGCAGGACCGTTTTTCCCTGTAGTGTGTAGCCCCTCATGTCATGGGATGAGTTACATTAATGACTATTTAATGGGATTTCCCTGGTAGTCCAGTGGTTAGTACTCCACACTTTCACTGTCGAGGGCCTGGGTTCTATCCCTGGTAGAGGAACTAAAATCCCATAAGGCATGCGGCACAGACAAAAAAAAAAAGACTATTTAGCTAGAAGACTCTAAGGAGATTGTACTGGCCACAAAGTATATACATTTGGGAGGACTCAGATAGGGCCCCAGTCCACACAGGACTCAGAAGGAGATGTTCATAAAAATTCTTAAGTTTTAAGTTACAATTACTTCCCAAGTTACTAACTTCTTGTTCTTCCCCCTCCCTAAGGAGGTGGAAAGAATCTATGTGAGGCATTTACAACCTTCATTCTTTGTCTTGTTTTTTGGTATTATCCTTGAACATTCTGGAAATCCCCTAAACCAGAATCAAACCTCTAAATTCCAGATTTTATATATCAGATTGGGAGAAACATTCTTTGCCTTTCCTACCCGTAGTTTAGTTTGCAAGGATCTCTATCCCTGGGATCAAGATCTGGAAGCCCTCAGTTAGCAGGCAATAAATGGAACAAAGAAAAGTTGTTGTGCAGACAAATGGCTTTTCAGAACCTTGCCACCTTTAAAAACACTGAGATGGGAGGATTTCCCCCGCTCCCCCTCCTCCATATAGCCCCTCCCCTCCCCCCACCCCCTGACCTAATATTAAATTCTGTTTTAACCTGAGACCTCTGGCTGCTTGTCAGTGGTTTAACCTTAATTAGGAAACAGAGGAAGGGGCCATACAAGAGCAATCGCTGAGGTGCTCTCCCCCTCCAGGTCTGCCCTGCAACTGTGCAGATCAGTTTGTACCCGTTTGTGGGCAGAATGGACGCACTTACCCCAGCGCCTGCATTGCTCGCTGTGTGGGCCTCCAGGACCATCAGTTTGAGTTTGGATCATGCATCTCAAAGGATCCATGTACTCCTAATCCCTGCCCAAAAAACCAAAGGTAAGTCAAATGCCTCCTTGTCTTTTTCAACTGAAGGTCGCCACTCACTCTATACCAGACAGTAAAAATACAAAGATGAATGAAGATGCTCTCTCCCCTGAGAAGTTAGAGTCTCGAGGGAAAGATCCGGGTAAAGCTGCTTGGTAATATGCTGTGACTGGGGGCCCAGAGGTCAAGCAGTTGACACAGCCTAGAAGAACCTCGGAAAGCCTCTAGGGCATGTGGTAGTTACCTGGGAAAACGAGGAGACTGCCAGCAAGGTTCACGGTAGAGGAAAAGTGGTGCTCATGAAGGCAGAGAGAGCAACCAGAGCAAATCTCGTGGCAGCTGGGAGAGCATGGTGTACGCCGGAAGCTGGACCAGCTCTGTAAGACAGAAGCAAAGTGCGAGGCACGGAGAAGCAGCAGCTGAGACAAGAGGAATGGACGCGTTCTTATTATTAGCTGCTGATGTCTGGCAGTAATAGAGAACAGTCTACCTAAAACCTGGCTCCACTGCAGGGGTCGAACATGAGAAATCTCTGGAAGTGCACTTTCAGGATTTTATGAAGTTATTTGTTTAGGGACTCCTCTCTCTGTGGTTTCCTCAGGAGCTCAGAGTGCAGTTGATGTCACCTTACTGATGGATTTCTGCTTGTGGTGGTCGCAGGTTAAGGGTACTGCTGATTCTCTTAGGTTTCAAGCTTCTGGAATTGAAGTTTTCACTGACTGCCTCAGAGAGCTGAGTAAGACACGTCCCAGCACCACAGTCCTTGCCTTTTGAAGCTTTTGTGGAGAATAAGCAATTGCTTCTCCATCCCAAGAACCTTGGTGCAGTATGAAGGGAGGGAAGGAAAAATTTTCTCTTGTGTTAAACTTATTTTAACAAATTTAAATTCTCTTTTAGCAAAGAGAGTTGGTCCCTGTCTAGCAAAGTTTACATCATGGAAACTAAGCCCAAAGAGTTGTTCTGCAAAGAAGATAGGGTGTTATGCATAAGAAAACATGATAAAGAAATAAGTCAAAAGGATAATAGAGTTGTGTCGGATGTAGAATTGAGAGTTGTTTTGGTATCTGTTTATCTGTTTGCTTCCTTCTATTTGGTAACCTTTCTGAATAAGATTGACTTGCTTTTATAGTAAAACCACAAATCTCAAAAATGGGAAGGCCTGGCTGGGTATGATACAAAATCAATATAAAAGAACAGTTTGAAAAATACAGCTACATGAAAATGAAGTTTTTCTGCATGGTAACAAATGACAAATTAAGAGAAATCTTAAGAGAAAGGGGTTTCAGTACAATCTCTGATAATATAAAGAATCCCTGCAAGTCAATATGAAAAAGATGAACAACTTAATATATTAATAAAAATAGGCAAAGATCTATAACCAGTGGAAAATGGACCAAGGACATAAACATAGGAAAAGAAATACAAATGCTTCTTAAACACTTAAAAAGATGCTTTTATTAGTTGGGGGGAGTAACTCTAGCTACTGTATACAAACACCCAAATATTCATAGTGGAAGTTCAAATACAGTCCATTTGGGTGATCAGCAGGTGGCCTTCCACATGTGATTCAGAAACTTAGGATCTTTCCATCTCGCAACTCAGCCAGCTCCTACAGCCCCTAGTCCTCCTCTGTCAGGCAAATAAGAGAAGGGAGATGATGGAGGTTGCTCCTGAAAAGCTTTTATAGGCCAAGTTGAAATTCATCTCTACTTCTAGCCACATTCCATTGTCTAGAACTTATTCATTTGGCCAACTCTTCCAGGGAGGCTGGGAAATGTAGTCTAGATGTATGCCCAGGAAGAAAATTAAATTAATTTGATGAATGAGCTCTAGCCAATCTACCACAATGCTTAACCCCTCTCAGATTAAGAGAAATATAAATTAAAACTACGGTTGTGTACCATTTTCCATCTACCAGATTGGTAAAGATAAAAAAGTTTGATAATGAAATATAGGGAAATAGGCACTCCCATACAAGAGAGGATTGGGGCAAAGATTGGTACCTCCTCTATGGAGGGCAGTTTGGTCAAGCATATCAAAATTTTAAGTCCACATGCTTTTTGAGTCAGCATGTATAAATGCTTGTTCTTATATAAAATATCTCTGGAAGAATAAATAAGAAGTTGGTAATAAGTGATTACCTCCAGGGAAGGTGACTGGGATACAAAGAATAGGCAAGAGACTGACTTTTCAGTATATACAATTTTGTCTTTTTCATTTTCTCCATGGGCTTGTATTATCTGTTCAAAAAATAGTTGTTTAAAAAATAGAAATTTGAAAATAAATGAAGTCGTATTCATTCATCAAGTATCTACTGTTGTACTGATCTTTCTAAACACTAAGACACAGTAGTCAACAAGACCAAGTCCCTGCCCTGATAGTGTTCATTTTAATTTGTCGCCCCCTCCCTGATTCTCAGCCTTTCCTGTTGATCCTCTTATTTCTGTGTATTCAAATTAGTAATGTTTTTCCTTCCAAAATTACCAAATTTCTCATGATATTCTTTGTCCTCATTCCTTCATGTTAGTAGATAGTGAAGTTCTAAATAGTCTTCTTTTTCATTTCTCTTCAAATGTCTTAAATTTCTATAAAATTATGACAATGCATTCCAATTTCTTTCTTCTAGTTTTTTTGAGATAGACTTGACATGTAGCCCTATATAAGTTTAAGGTGTACAGCACAATGATTTGATTTACATGCATCATGAAATAACTACCACAGTAAGTTTAATGAACATCTATCATCTTGAAGAAATTGAAAAAAAATTTCTTCTTTGTGCTAAGAGCTCTTGGGATTTAGTCTCTTAATAACTTCCATATATAACTCTCATAATCATATTTATCATGTTGTACATTACATCACTATGTTATAACTAGAAGTTTGTTATCTTTTGACTCAGTTCAGTTCAGTTCAGTCACTCAGTCATGTCCAACTCTTTGCCACCCCATGGACTGCCAGCACGCCAGGCTTCCCTGTCCATTTGTCACCAACTCCCGGAGCTTGCTCAAACTCATGTCCATTGAGTCGGTGATGCATGCAACCATTTCATCCTCTATCGTCCCCTTCTCCTCCTGTCTTCAGTCTTCCCAGCATCAGGGTCTTTTCCAATGAGTCACTTCATCACGTCAGTTCTTTCAATGAATATTAAGGACTGATTTCCTTTAGGATTGACTGGTTGGATCTCCTCTCAGTCCAAGAGACTCTCAAGAGTCTTCTCCAACACCACAGTTCAAAAGCATCAATTCTTCAGCACTTAGCTTTCTTTATGGTCCAAATCCCACATCCATACATGACTACTAGGAAAACCATAGCTTTGACTAGATGGACTTTTGTTGGCAAAGTAATGTCTCTGCTTAATATGCTGTGGTTGGTCATAGCTTTTCTTCCAAGGAGCGAGTGTCTTTTAATTTCATGGCTGCAGTCACCATCTGCAGTGATTTTGGAGCCAAAAAATAAAGTCTCTCACTGTTTCCATTGTTTCCCCATCTACTTACCATGAAGTGATGGGGCCAGTTGCCATGATCTTTGTTTTTTGAATGTTGAGTTTTAAGCCAACTTTTCCACTCCTCTTTCACTTTCATCAAGAGGCTCTTTAGTTCCTCTTTACTTTCTGCCCTAAGGGTGATTTCATCTGTATATCTGAGGTTATTGGTATTTCTCCCGGCTGTCTTGATTCCAGCTTGTCCTTTGTACAGTCCAGCATTTCGCATGATGTACTCTGCATTGACTGACTGACTGACTCTGCATTTAAGTTAAATACGCAGGGTGACAATATACAGCCTTGACGTACTTCTTTCCCAATTTGGAACCAGTCTGTTTTTCCATGTCTGGTTCTGTCTACGTTCATCGAAGTCTCCCTCCCCTCACCTTTTGCCTCTGGTAACCACATATCTAATCTTTTCCTATGAGTTTGTCTGTTTTAAAGTATAATTGACCTACAAGTCTGTGTTAGTTCCTGGTATAAACATAGTGATTCAATATTTCTATACATTTTGAAGTAAGTTTAGTTACTATCTTTCACCATATAAGGATATTACATAATTATCAACTCTGTTCTCCATACTGTATACTTCATACCTATGATTCATTTATTGTGCAACTGGAATTTTGTACCTCTTGGTCTTCCACACCAATTTCTCTCCTCTTCCCACTCTCCTCCCCTCTGGCAATCACCTTTTTGTTCTCTGTATCTATGACTGTGTTTCTTTTACTATGTTTGTTCATTTGTTTCGCTTTTTATAGTCCAAGTATAACTGAAATCTGTCTTTCTCTTTTTGTCTTATTTCACTTTAACATAGCACTCTCTAGGTCCATCCATGTTGTAACCAGATTCATTCTTTTCTATAACTGAGCAATATTCTGTCCTGTGTGTGCACCTGGGTGGCATACATCACATGCACACAGAAGGGTTTCCTTTTCTCCACATCTTCATCAAGACTTATTTGTTGTCTTTTGGATAATAGTCATTCTGACAGGTGTGAGGTGATGTTTCATTGTGATTCTGATTTGCATTTCCCTGGTTACTAATGATGTTGAGCATCTTTCCCTGTTCCTATTAGCCATCTGTTTGTCTTCTTTGGGAAAATGTCTCTTCACATCCTCCACCCATTGTTTGATTGGGTTGTTTAGGGTTAGGGTTTTGTTTGTTTGTTTTTTTGTTTGTTTTGATGTTGAGTTCTTTGAGTTCTTTGCATATTTAGGATATTAACCCCTTATCACATATATCTTTTGCAAATATGTTCTCCCATTCAGTAGGCAGCCTTTTCATTTTGTTGATGGTTTTCTCTGCTGTGCAAAAACTTTTTAGTTTGATGTAGTCAACATTTGTTTATATTTGCTTTTGTTTCCCTTGCCTGAGGAGATGTACCTAAAAAATATTACTAAGACTAATGTCAGGGAGCATACTGCCTGTGTTTTCTTCTAGAAGTGTTATGGTTTCAGGTTTTATATTTAAGTCATCAATGCATTTTGAATTTATATTTGTGTATGGTGTGAGAAAGTGGTCCAATGTGGTTCTTTTACATGTACTTGTCCAGTTTTCCCAATACGACTTATTGAACAGACTATCTCTTCTCCATTATATATTCTTGCCTCCTTTGTCATAGATTAATTGCCTGTATAAATGTGGGGTTATTTCTGGACTCTCTGTTTTGTTCATTGATCTATGTGTATGTTTTTGTGCTAGTACCATATAGTTTGATGACTATAGCTTTGTAGTATAGTTTGAAATCAGGGAGGGCTCTGTTCTTTCTCAAGATTGTTTTGGCTATTCAGGGACTTTTGTGTTTCCATACAAATTTTATAATTACTTGTTCTAGTTCTATGAAAAATGCTTATTGTATTTGATAGGGAGTGCATTGGATCTATAGCTTACCTCAGGTAACTGTCATTTTTAACAATAGTTCTTCTAATCCATGAGCATAGTATATCCTTCCACCTGTTTGTGTTGTCTTCAGTTTATTTTATCAATGTCTTATAGTTTTCCTTAGTTAAATTTTTTTTTTAAGTAAATGATCTCAAACTTTTATTGTCTTCATAATAAAACAAAGTATGAAGCTCAAAATTGGATCACTTGGCCCTTTCTCTTCTTATCGCCTCCCAACTCAAAATGCTTGCATCTCTTAATAGCCAGCATTCTCTTCGATCTACAGCTGGGCTCAACACATTCAAGCCTCAGTACAATCTTCTTTGTAGTTTTAGCCTTTTTCCAGAAAATCGGCTTAGTCTGTCCACCACAGCCACTCTGCTTCCTGTCATAACGCCGCTTTCCCTGGGCATATAAAGAATCCTTGCCCTTCTTGTACTGTGTCACTTTGTGGGGCTGATGCTTCTCACACTTCTTACAGAAAGTCCGGCGGGTTTTTGGAACGTTCACCATGTTTGCGAGAGCGATACCAGCACAAAAAAAAAGCTCCTTAGTTAAATTTATTCCTGGATATTTTATTCTTTGTAAATGTGCTTGTAAATTAGATTGTTTTCTTAATTTGTCTTTACATACATCCTAATTTTAAATCTCATCAGAAAAGGTAGCCATAGGTAGTAGTAGTGATGGTGGTGGTAATTTCGTGTAAAAAGAAGTAATTTCCTTTGAAATTATATGATGTTAGCTAATATATTTTTCTCCTTTTATGTTATAGATGAATATTTGTGTGTCCTATTATTTTAAATACCCAGTAAAAGTTAAACATTTCTTAGGTTCTGTCTTCTTATAGAAAATTATAAATACCCTTTATAGAAATGAGAGAGGCAAAAAAGTCTAAAGAAGAAAAGAACCATCCTCCCTAACCACTCTGCAGAAGTTCAGAGATTGAGGATGAAGCCAGGTCCGGGTATTACTAGGAAAACCCAGCTTCATGGGGTGGCATTCTCTCAGTGATTCACAACCAGCCAGCATCAGGTCCTCAACTTTATAAACACAGAAGCCTGAAATTTTCAGCATATGCTGTGAAGTTTTCTCTTAAGATAGACTCATATTAGTCAAGCTGATAATTAAGTCCCTGAAAAATGCGTCATCTATTATTGATAAGAACACCTCCAACAGCGGACCCTGACCTGTCTGGTGGTCTCGTGTCATGCCTCTTCCACCCCGAGCACCCTTCGCTTCTGCCCTCAGGGCCCTCTGCTCTCTCCCCCAGCACCACAGGGTCTGGGGCATCACACGCTTGCTCTGCTACTCCCTCTGACTGGTAGGCCTTCATTCTCCTGGCTCCACCTCCTCCATGTGCTTTCTCCAGGCTCCCCAATCAGAATGACTCATTCTCATGAGCATTTGGCATGTGGTTTTCCACCTGGTGGCCTGCTTTACATGCATGCTCGACTCCCCAGTCTCCGTAAGCTCTCGGGCACAGGGACTGTTTCTGATTGCTCTCTTACTTTCTCTTCAGCCTCCCGTGCCCCACCACTGCCTGCCAGCCCCACTATAGTCTCTTACAACATTGACTCATGGTGCTGCATTTGTGTTTTTCAGATGCATACCGAAACCACAAGTCTGCCTGACGACATTTGATAAATTTGGATGTAGCCAATATGAGTGTTTGCCAAGACAGCTCACCTGTGACCAGGTCCGAGATCCTGTTTGTGATACAAACCACATGGAGCACAGCAATCTCTGCACTTTGTACCAGAGAGGGAAAAGCCTGTTATACAAAGGCCCGTGCCAGGTACCACTGTGGCCTGACAAGCCCAAGTACACTGAGCATGAAATCAGCTTATGATCTTTTACATGTGAATCAGCAGTGAGACCCCCACTGAGGGTCTTCTGTGAATCCCATCAAATCTAGAGCACTCAGTCCTCTATCAAAAATGAACCATCCGAGGCTGGCTTTTCCTCCTAACACTGGAGGGCCCCCTTGCTCATGACCCTTTGCACCTCTAGTATACAGAGCAAAAAGAGAGGCTTCTTGACACCAACCACTAGAAAAGAATTTAAAGCCTTGCACCCCTGGCATGAGTCAGCAGCATCTTCACTTCCCCTTATTCTGTGGGCCCAGAACTGTTTCGTTAGAAAACCGCACAAACAAAAATAATAAAAAAGAAAGAAAATAGCCCAGGAAGAATGTGAGGGAAAACAACCAAGAGAAGAGCTTTCCCCCTACTCTTTCCACTGAAGTTCCACCCAAGGTCCTGAAAACTGACTGAAAACTTCTCTAAAACTTAATGTCTTACATCAGTTTACTTTAGCCTTTGAGGGTTGTGAAATTGGTATTCATGTCAAAAAATAACCCTGAGGACAACCCCACTGAGACCTTCCATACACACCAGTGATCTGTATGCTAGGCCGTCTGCCTGGAAGAAGCCCGGCTTTGGACCAGCAATCCCTGCCCACAGCCAGCTGACACCAACATGCTGGCTTCCCATTTCCTGATTTTCACTGAAGGAAAATCCCTTCAGCTCATCTCCCTGGGCTTGTTTCCCCTCAGAGCTTATCTTCTAAGTGCATTGATACCTTTACTCTGAATTCCCTCTTGTTGGACCCTCTTCCTGGCTGCAGGTTTTCTCTTAGATGTTCTTCATGATGCAGAGCCCGTCTGCTCCCCTCATCTCTCCTCTCTTCCCTCTCTATCCTGTTCTTGTTCAGTCGCTAAGTCATGTCTGACTCTGCAACCCCATGAACCAGTGTGAAATGATAAGGCCTCTGAATTTGCATCGAGATTGGTCTTGTTTTCTTCTAACAGGCTCTTCTGGAATAATGGAAGTTGGGAGGAAGGCAGGCTTTTTATCTCATATCAGTTCTCAGAGAATGAGCACCCAGGTCCCTGAGAGGCTGAGAAAAGTAGTCTCTTCATTCAGTCTTGGGACGGTCCTGTTGCCCCTAGCCCCACACCCTGTTTAGCAGCCTTTTCAGAGTGTCCAAGAATTTATACTGTCTTTTCTGCTTCTTGAAAGTAGGGAGACCTATTCTTGGTTAGGAAAAGTGCCCGTAGAAGTTTACCGCTAAGTGTGCTTTCTTTCGCTCAGCCTTTCTGCAGGGCCCCGGAGCTCGTATGTGGGCACAACGGGGAGACCTACAGCAGCGTGTGTGCGGCCTATTCAGACCGGGTGGCGGTCGATTACCACGGGCCCTGCCAGGCTGTCGGGGTCCTCTCTGAGTACAGTTCTGTGGCTGAGTGTGCTGCCGTGAAGTGTCCTTCACTCTCAGCGACCGAGTGCAAACCCATCATCCCACCTGGTAGGCTGCCAGTGCTGGGGGTGGGGCAGGGGTGGGATTGGGAGGATTTGCTTATCTGTCCTCAGAGAGTGAGTCACTAAGAATAAAGCTGACTTAAGTGTGTTTAAACTTCTCAGGAAATCTTAACTCCACCTAATGCTGATTGATGCGTTTCTCTGGGCCTACCTTAAAAAGTGGTGGATCTGTCTTGGACATCATCTGGTCTAGTGGTTTTAAAACAATGTGGAAAACTTATTTCAGTCTTAACTCAAGCACCAATAGATAAACAGCAATATTTAACTGCTGGAATTATGGTTACTAGTTCAAAGGCATAACGTTTGCCTATTATAAAGTTAATGAATAAAGAATTGGACATTAATGAACAATTGAAGTATTTTTGATGAACACAAACATTTTAAATTGAGAAAAACAAGATAGTTGTTGTCTTAGACTGGCCTTAGTGTCTAATTTAATTGTTTTGGTTGCATATAATTAAGAACTCTTGTTTCAAACAGGCTGTTATAAGCAGTTAACAGTTTTCAAACAGCTTACCTTTCAGTTTCATACTTCGGTTAAGCAGAGGGAGTAGAAGAGGCTTTATCCCAAGTCTGCACAGAACAGATTACCTGGAGTCTGACAAGTTCATTCCTCTGTCCAGGAATTCAGCAAATGTTTCTTGAGCATCCACTATGTCCTAGACAGGCGTCTAGGTGCTGGGGGCACAGCCGTGAGCGAACAAAGCCTCCTTCCTCCTGGAGACCATGGTCTGACATGTTATTATTGTTTTTTAACAGTTTCAATAACTTTTAAAATTCAGCTTGAATCAAAACACCCATGGAATCTCTGAAACATTTGCTCCTGTGTTTTGCCGACAGGAGACACTTGCCTGGGATCACACAGTGAGTTCTGGGTAGGGCAGGGTCTAGGCCCTGTGTCTCTGGAAAGGCCAGCTCGCCCTGTGCTGTATAAAGCCACAGCTGCCCCACCTGAGAAGTGGAACAGGAGGAAAGCAGGAATGGAGGAAGGATTTTGGTAAATGTATAGATCATTAGACTCCAGGTTGATCAGGGAATATATCTGAAAGTGCAGTCATCAGGAAAGACTTCAGTAACTTTCCTAGCACAAAATAAACGGCTGGTAATTTCACCAACTATTTTGAATTTTCTTTATTTCTAATTCTGAACGCAAACAGAATGGTTTCTGTTATACAGGTGCCTGTTGCCCATTATGTGCTGGCATGTTAAGAGTTTTGTTTGACAAAGAAAAACTGGATACTATTGCTAAGGTAAGTTGCTTTATGTGCCCTGTACTATTGAAAGCTTATTAATAAACTTGTCGGTAATCATACAGACAGATGTGTCATCCCATTCATAGATGAAGAATCTAATTTGCACAGGGACATCTTGCCCAAGGCCGTGCGGTAGCCCCCAACCAGGAGGACTGGGCTTTGAGCTCAGGCCATCTGCCCCCCATCCCGTGCCCCTTACCTGTACAGCCTGGCTGTGCAGTGACCTTCTCTGCCACCAGGGAGCCTGCGCTTGCTTAAAAACGGTCTCCTGCCAGCACAGTGAGCCACATGAGGGCTGGAACCAGAGCCAGGCAGCCAGCAGCTGGTAGACCCCCAGATAGTTTCAGGGTCGCCTGCCCTCAGGTGGTCCCCATTCCTCTGGGGGTATGTCCAGAATTGACCATCTTCCCATGATGGTTTTGCCCCTTTTCCTTTTTTGTACCATTATTTTTGCTGCTCACTCTTGTGAAGATGAGATTGCAGAAGTGTAGCAACCAACACCACCACTACCTAAAAAAATTGCACCCATTTCAATGAAAACAGCTATATTTTTACAGGAAGGCTTTAATTATTTCCCCATGGCATCCAACTCAGAACTGTCCCTTAAAACGTGCTCCTGGTGAGAGTGTTTATGTCAGCCAGAAAACTCAGCAGTCAGAAAAAACCCTACTGGAATGGGTTCTGTGAATATTTAGAATTCATCCAGCAAGGCCCTGCCCCGCTCTTAGGATTAAAAGAGCCTTCTTGTTTTAGGCAAGGTAACAAGACAGCTTAGGCAGTAGTAAGGAATTCTTTTTTCAGGTAATAGAATAGTTTTCTCTTTCTAGGTTACAAACAAAAAGCCAATCACAGTTCTGGAAATACTTCAGAAGATCCGCATGCATGTGTCCGTCCCACAGTGTGATGTGTTTGGGTACTTCAGCATTGAGTCAGAAATTGTGATCCTCATCATTCCTGTGGACCATTATCCAAAAGCTTTACAGGTGCGGTCAGCACGGGTCGTGCAGCCATCCTGTCGCTTTGAATCGGGAGGGCGGAAGGGAGGAGAGCACAGAGGCTCTGAGGACGGGGCTGCTCCCAGGGAGTGGCTTCCGACAGAATGCATTGGGCGGGGGGTGGAGATGCTGTGACTCAGAAGGCCTCTGTTCATCTTCCAGATGAAGCGGTTGAGGCCCAGGGAGGGCAGGGACGGCCACCAGCCACGCAGTGACAAGGCCAGGCAGACTCCTGTCTCCCAAGGGCTGTGCTCCTCCTGGGGAGGAGGAGCCCACCAGAACGGATCTGATCTGGGCCCCGAGTTTTCTTCCTCATAATCTAGAGGTGAACCTCACTCAGGAGGCGCAAGTTTCAGCATCAGCATAGGGAGGGTCCCAGTGATGGGAGTGAATACAGTGGTTTCTCAGCTGCCACAGTGAGGAAGCTCACTCTGTCTCAGTGCTTTCCTCTCCTCCTGATGTGTAGGTGGCCGTGGAGAGGCCAATCCCTGTGACTGTGTTTAAGCATGAAAAGATGTCTAAATGTGAATAAGGGGTGAACAGGACTGTGGGGAAAGAAAGGGCAGTGGCTGTGTGGGTCATGGCTTTTTATTTAATTTGGTTTCCATTGACGCTGTTATTATGTGTGTAATAAATTAAGACTTTATCAGAATACTACTTTGCTTAAAAAAAAGGATAAAGAGAAGATGTATTTCGTGTGTTGGGATATATGTGGAATTTGTCTGACTTGACCTTTGTCGTGGGTTCTGTGACTTATATTAAAAGGATCTGATTATCCTCTCCCAGATTGAGGCCTGCAATAAGGAAGCAGAGAAGATCGAATCTCTTATCAACTCTGACAGCCCCACTCTGGCAGCCCACGTCCCTCTGTCTGCCCTGGTCATCTCCCAGGTGCAGGTCTCCAGCAGCATTCCCTCAGCCGCTCCCAGGGCCCGGCCTCCCCATCACCCCCGCCTCTTCCTCCTCAGCCTGGGCCTCACCATCCACAGAGTCTGGAGACACAACTGACTGCCCCTGAAAACTGCAAAGTATTCCTTGATCTAATTTTCTTACTTTGGCAAAAACATATAGGACTGCTGGTTTGTAGTTGAATAGTGGCCAAGGCAAAGCACTTGTCACCTCTTAACCTCTGTTCACCATACAGTATTTTCTTAATTACCAGTATTAGTAAGGGTTTTGCCTTATTTCTACAAGTGTTACAATATATTCTTCCAAATACTAAGGAAAAGAGGATGTTTCCTTCTGGTGGATCACTGACTGCGTTACAGTTTACATTTTGCTCGTTAGATGGGTCCCCCACCACAAAACAAATTCTATATCATTGATAAATGAGATGATCACTTTTTAGAAAGACAGCTCACTTTTACTATGGACTTCGTATCACAGAAACTTCATTTCAGAGTTCTTTCAGGATTAAGGTGCCCCTAGTGCATGTGTGTTTGTTTACAGATAATTCCCTACTCTGTCTAGAAGTGAGGAGTCACAGTGAAGAGTCACTGTTATTAGAATATGAGAAAAAGATAAGGCATCTTTGGAATTATCATGTAAGTCATCAGGCAAATTTAATTTCTAGAAATCTAATTCAGAATCCATTTAATGTGTTAAGCAAAATCAGGCTAAGTAAATGGCATTCACATGATATATTGTACCTAAGTGATAGTCTCAGTGGTTCTTAAAATGTGTCTGTGACTTCTGTGAAAGGGAGAAGTTATATTGCATCAAAGCATCTTGTATTATGCATTTTTATATTAACAGATGTATATCCTTTGGTATCATCCAAGTTAAATGTAGAGTTTTTAAACATTAACCTTTAAACCAATTGCTGCTACTTATGTAATTGCCAAAAAGTGAAATAATTAGTAGTTCATGTAAATAATACATGATTTTTCTATTTTATTATGAAGAAGGTGAATAGCCATATTTGTAAAATGACAATCATGTGTGTTAACCCAGTACTTTCCGTTCATGAAGACACATTTGTTTTTTGTGATATGCACAATGTAGGTAAGTGTTCTGTTTTTCTTTTTTGATACAGATTTATAAAGAAGTGTGGTTTATATATTTAAAAGTGTCAATTTAGTATTAAAATGTTTGCATGTTGTCTAAGAAAACTTTGAATGTGTTTCACAGTTTTAAATAAGCTATTCAGTGTAATACTTCTTGTTTATATGCACCTAAACTTAGAATTTACATGAAGTGTTTTTCTCAGTGTTAAATATATGTACCCTCTGAAAGATATAGGGTTATGCTTATTATACCAAAATGTTGTTTAAAAGTGAGCACTTAAAGCTTTCAGAATTTCTCAGTGCTATGTAGCATGTTTGTTGCAATTGCTTTTTCTATATAAATCTCTTCAATGCAATGTACTGGAAAGCTTTTCTATTTTAATAAAATAATTTTATATGATTATGTGTATTTCTAAGCAAAGTGCACATTTAGAATGAAACCACTGATCACTCTTTGGCGAGCCTTGTCCTTTGCTCTGAATAAGAAGTTATGGGAGTGTGATTACTCCAAAAGTGGGAAAACAGAGCAGCGGGGACAGAGCTGGTCAGAACAGACCCTGGCATGTTCTTGGCAGAACGGTCAAGGACAAAGACCCCGGCTTCTTCGGGACTGAGAGCTTCAGGCACTCCAAGAGCAGGAGTAGGTTAGGCAGTTCTTCTCCCTACTGTTTCAGCCCCAGCTTCTTCAGGACTGAGAGAGCTTCAGGCACTCCAAGAGCAGGAGTAGGTTAGGCAGTTCTTCTCCCCACTGGTTCATTCCTGTATTTCAGCCCTGTGGTATATCCTAGAGCAGAGAGAACTGTGCAGTGTGGAGGCAGGGGGCCAGCTGATCAGGGCCCGAGAAGCTCTCGGTCAGCTGAGGCTAAGGCCCCAAACCTCCATCGTGCTCCCGTCACACGTCTGCTGTGCTCCTTCTCACTGTTGTCTTCACTCCAGTGTCCTCACAAAGGGAAGAAGGAGACGAAGAAAACCACAACTGGTGGGTAGGTCTCTGCTCAGAAGTGACACTATCATTTCTGCCTACGGCTAACATCCAAGCAAGTCACGTGGCCGCCCCGACTCCAAAAGGTAGGGAGGAACATACCATCCTCTTGTGTATGTGTGTGTATTTGTGTGTTGGGGGGAAGAAGGGAAGAAGCTGGGGCAGACCATGAGTATTTTGAACAATGATACAGTCTACTGTAGAGGCCCTTCCTCATCAGGATAGGGCAATAGCCAGGAAGGACTAAATTTCTTATTAAAAAAGCGGTAGAAGTTTTTGGTCTGGGAAGGAAATGAGAAATGAGAGAGGTGCTTGGGTTTGAGGGAGGGGGGAATATCAAGGGAGGAAAAGATCTAAAGGTTGGTCCTGCCCCAAGGACAGAATCACACAGTCTTGAGAACTCTGACCATAGGTAGTCACAGGTGAAACAAGCCCAGGTCCAGTCAGTTCGGGAGATGGCGCTTCCCACTAGCCAGTGGCTGTGGTGAGCACAGCCAGGCTGCCTTGGGGACCGGCTGTCAGTGGCTTCCCGGCCTCAGAGCAGCACAGAGCCCCTGCTGGTTGGCTGTGGCCAAGTGTATCAGGCTAGTAGATGCTCTGCAGGAGACAGGGGGCACAGGCAAAAGAGAGAAATGAAGGCCCTGCCCTTCTGTAATTCTGCCAGGTGCTGGAGGCAGGAGGACCTGCAAGTCTGGAGAAAGCGGTTCTACGGGAGGTGGACAACTTAGCAGATGAGGTAACTGCGTGAAAAGTGGACTCCAGAGAAAGGTTCAGAGGCTCCCATAAGGCCATGGGTAATGAAACCAAGACACTAGGAAAACAGATGAAATAACCTGCTATCCAGCCTACAGGAAGTAATTGGGCAGGAGTGGACCCTAAGAGGGTTCATAGGCCTGGCTTGGGTCACATGCCCACCTCTGGCAGAGAAGGAAAGTCAGGGGAGCTTCAGCCCCACCTAAACTAGACAGGATGGATTTCTCACAGGAAATGACTCAGTTCCTAGAAGAAGGCAGCTGCTAGATGTGTCCTCTGGGGAGTATGCGTCTCTCTAACCGGCCGTTAGTCCCCAGACTGTTTCAGTCTGAGAGCACACAACAGTGCCTCACCCTCAGACCAGGTGCACCCCCGGAGCTGTCAAACCATCAGCCACCAGAGCCCAGGGGCAGCCAACAGGGTGCTTTGTAAGAGAGGCCTGTTAAACAAGGGAGTTACCCAGAGTGACTGGTAATAAAGCAAATTATCTTCAGAGCACACATGGCAATGAAGAGGAGTGAGTGTGACGAATGTAAACATTTTTAATCAGGGCAAAAGAAGCAGGCGAACTTGGGAAAGATTCTTCTTATCTCCTGGAATCCTCATTCCACAACCAGCTCTGTCAGGGGTCTTCTCAAGGGCTCCAGGGCCGAGGACCTGGGCTTAAGGCTCGATTATCACTGGGCGACACTAAATTGTGGGTCTCTCTGAGTCATCATTTACTGTAAACCAGGGACAGCAAATGTCTGTCATTCATGCCACCAAATCCTCGTTGGGTGTCTATGGTAAAGAGATCACAGTTCCATCATGGTCTCCTGCTCGTGGCGACAAGCCCAGCTTCAAGCACAGCATTCTGAGTAAGAAGAAAGGGCATTAGTCATGGTACCTCCTTTGCTGCCATCATATCTTATGAATAAAAAATATGTTTCTCAGAAATCCCTCAACAGTTGTCCCGTGTGTCTCCTTGCCCAGGACTGGGTAGTATTGGCCAACACTAGACAGTTGACCAAGGGGAGCAGGATGGCCGTAGCTGGTTGGCTAGTCAGGGGCAACACACTGCTGCCCCAACCAATTTGAGGTACAGGAGGGCAAGAGTAAGTTGGCCAAGGCTGCCAACTGCATTCACCTTAAGATAAAGTCAGTTTTTGGCAATCTCAACTTGTTAAGAGCATAGATATGAAAAGTTTTGTTTAACTACCTGCAGCTGTGATAGGTGTTTCTAACTAGGTGATTGTTCAGTTGCTAAGTCATATCTGATTTATTGTGATCCCATGAACTGCAGCTAGTTCACTAACAAGGTAGTGACACCCAATAACAGCAACTGTCTGATTTTATAACTTTAGTGCTTTCCTCCAGTTACTTAAACAGCCCTACTTCATTCCTCAGGCCTCTGACCTGGTTATTTTAAAACTTCCCTCCCATATGCAATGCAAAGTCCTGTTCACCTCCTCCAGCCTAGACTAGATGTTTGCTCAAGAATAGCGTGGTTGGAAGGGATGGTCTTTTTGCCACAAACTTATGCAAGGCTCACATCTCAGAGTCTGTGAGCTTGTCATGATGTCACTAGTGACGTTAGTCACAGACATTAAGGTGTCTTCAGTACAAACTCTGGGACATTCATCTGTAGTAAGAAAGTTTGTCAACCAAGAGCTGAGTGGTCTTGCCCTCAGCTATAGTTAGCCTGTACAAAACAGATGTAGGTCACCTCATTGTACAAGGCAGTGTCCCTTGGGAAGTGTGAGGAATGGGAGAGAAAATCTAATAAGGAGCAGACAGAAGGCTGCGCAGGGCTTCATTAGCACTGGGTCTGTCCCAGTGGTAGTTCAGTGGAGATAATGACTTGGGAAGGGGGCATGAGGGGGAGCATAAGGCAGTTCAGGTTTAGAGCCAGGCCGGAATGGCACCCAGAGCTGTTGGCCTTGCCCTCCTGGCTATACTGCCTGGGATAGTTCCCAGGCATAGAACCGTGGCCACCCAACTCCAGTGACTGGAGAGACCTTCAAGGTCACCCGCTGATCTCGTTATCTCCTGCTCCCTTCCTCTGTCCTGTGAACGTGCTGGACTCCACTGAGGAAACATTAATTGAGCCGGGCTGGGTGCCAGACTTCCCCTGGAACTTGCCCTCTCCTGAAGGAGGGATTCAGCCTGGGTCTGTTTCAGCTGCACCTTGGGAAGAAAGGTAAACCCGCCAGCAACACTGATGGCCTTGACACAAAATCCATAGAAGACATTTTATTTTCTCTCATTTGATTGAATGGCTTTCCTTT